CCTGTTCAGCTCTACAAAGACACAGCCAGCATGAAATATTCAGCAAGACGGACTTCACATCCACATACTTTTGGAATTAAATACTTCAGTTTCAAGGTCAGTGAAACTGCCCTTGCACACAGAAATGAAGGGCGGGAATAAAGACTTCTACAATCTGTTCCACAGAAGAGGAAATGTATTACCCCTTTAATACATTTTTAATACAAGAGTCCCTTTAAAGGGAAATGCTAAACACACTGCAACTCCAGATACACTGGACCCAGTTCTCATGCCTCCAAGAGGTCAGAGCTAGACTTGCCTGAGGAGAGGTCATCTTGCAATCGATCTAAGTATATATACAGTATTTCATTATATATACTATATTTATTAATTGTTATTAACAAATCATAATGATAAATATAATAATTGTTATAATAATAATAATAAAAATAATAATCATTATTAGGGAAAGCAAATCATTTTTAAAATGTTCTAGTCTTGCTCACAATTTGTAAAAGACATCTGTGGAGCTGGTTTAGACACTGTTTGCAACATTAAGCAATTACCAAGCCAACAGTGAAAGTTTAAAATGAAAGGTCTTGGTACTGCCAGTGAGCACTTTAATATGAGAAATCATGCAGAAAAAGCAGTGTAACATAGTAAAATAATGAAGAACACAGAAGAATGTATAAGCCTACAGTGCATTGTGAACAACAAGGAAAGCTTAATTTGCTAAACGTAATTAAAAAAAAATAGAACCCATGTGCTCATTGCACAACACTTGTAAAAAAAATGTTACGACATAAAATTTAACCAGCTACAGCACAAATACAATCCATAAAACAGGATCAAAGGGGTTGACGGCTGAACTTCTAGAGTGTTATCCAAATTTCTTTTTGGAAAAAGATTTTGCTTAGAAAAACACAGAGGGTAGGTGAACCGACTCATGCATCTCCTTACAAGAGGTGACCTGACGGAGTTGAGGAAGCTGCATTTAAAATGTGCAGCACGCAAGGGTTTAGTTATCTCTGTACTAGTCCCGGACAAAAACTAAATGTGTGGTGGCAAAGGGATACAATCCTTACACAATTACTCATTAGTGCATATTAGCATTTTAAATCATATAGCAGTGGAAGGAAGAAAAAACATCCCAGCTATTGGTTTATAATACTGCTGAGGCTGAATGGCTCTGTGTTAAATGCATTTCTTCAGTTGCTGTACAGCTCTAAAGGAACACTCCCAAAGCCCAAAGGACACTACAGCCAGTGGTCAGCTACACAACTACTGCTTCACAGCAACACCCAATACAAAGGGTTTCCTCCATAATATCTCCTCCCAGGTAGCATTATTCATTATGTACATGCAGAAAAATCATGCAGGGTTTTTCTGGGCACCTTCACTACTTACACTATGGCTGAGAAAAAACACTTTTTGACAGCAGTGCACCCAACAGTTACAGAAACGCGTTTTCTTTGCTCCTTAACTCAAAACAAAAAACCCTCTTCTTTCAAATCGCATCACGCCTGCCTCGTCTCACAGCTGATGGGAGTGACGTCTGTAATTCACCTCGTAAAGATTTATTGAGATCAACTTTACACATCTGCGGTGTGCTTTTAACTCTGGCACACACCCGAGAGCCAATTTTTTTCTTTTTTTAAAAGAGCCTTTTTGTAGACACAGAAGACTGTGATGCCAAACAAAGCCATACATGTGAGATGATGATACATTTCTTTAAAAAATAAACTACAAGAAAATATTGGGAAATAAAAAAAGCAACCAAGCAACGTTTGGCATGTGTTAGTTATCCCAATAATGAGGGTAAAGAAGTCAATGAATCATCCCATTACCTTTAATATCTTATAAAACACACCTATGTCACATATCATGTGCAAGAACATATTCCTTTTATCTGAGGTCTTATGACACCTGCCTTGCGCACGTGCAACACCAAGCCAGACCTGAGGATTTCAACAATAATTAAGCCCTAATCTCTTCTTTTATATTAAACACTGCCTGTCAATCCTCCTACCTTACTTTCCTGTGCTATATTGTAAAAGGCCCACAGGACGCTCCAAGGTTAATGAATAAATTTCGTGCTGGGGCATTACAGTTAGGAGATTATACCTTTCGAGTCAGATTCTGAAATCACCTCTTATCTGATGCTGCTCTTAGTCTCCACATTTCTGGATACAATAAAGAGAGAAGCTGCGGCGGCATTAATTCTGCGTTATTTAACCTCGCGAGATCCGAATCACAATGTCTGCCGATAATCCTTGGGCGATCTGACTGAGGCACGGCCACCTGCATGCTTTCTAACGTGTGTTCAGCCAGCCTTTTGAGTCCATCACACAGACTCCAGTTTTTTCATCCACTGTGCTGCTACTGTAGCTCAAGCCTGACAGTCAAAGCACCAAGTATGAAATGAGGATGAGGAAGGAAGGGGGAAAATTCAGGCATGAGCCCGGAAGTTTTATTGGTACACAGTACCAGGTCTCTCCGGCAACTAACTCAAAATTGACAAATAATAATAATAATAAAAATAATAACTGCTTACACTTATATAGCGCTTTTCTGGACACTCCACTCAAAGTGCTTTACAGGTAATGGGAATCCGCTCCACCACCACCAGTGTGCAGCACTGGTAAAGGCCAATGGGAAATTTGGCCAGGATGCTGGGGTAACACCCCTACTCTTTTCGAGAAAAGCCCTGGGATATCTAATGACCACAGATCACGTGACATGGACACACACAAGTCAACTGCACATTTAGAGACATCGATTAGCCTGATCTGCACGTCTTCAGAACAAAAGCAGAAGTCGGAGCACCCAGGGAGCACTGATGTGGGGGGGAACATGCAAACTCCACACGGAACATTCCATGATCCAGAATTTAACCCAGGAACCCTAGAGCCACGAAAAAGCAGCGCAGGTTACTACTATGCCACCCATTTCCAAAACAATCGCACCAAAATATATTTCATTGCACATGAGATGAGAGCCACACACATGCCCTTAAAGAAAAACAGCATTTCTTCAGCAAGCGTTACCAACTATAGCTGCTGAATAAGAGCCCCAGCAGTTCTAAGCCACTGTTGGCGTGTCAGCGTTTCGTGGATACACCACTGCTGAAAACTAAAGAGCAACGCCTCAATTAATATTGCAAATAAAGAGGTTTGGATTTTGATTTTATCACTACCAAAAACACAAATACCTTTCTCAACAAGCTGACATGCTAAAATAAAAACGCCAAATGTTACATAAGGCACAACCTCAGACTGAAATAAATACCTCAGTATTCTCGGACTCCGTGTAAAACCGTCTTGCCTTTGGCTCACTAATACACCAAGACCCCTCATAAGGTCGCTGGATAGTATTACTGATAATGGCTCCAAGTGCCAGACAGCAGGAGCTGTATATGAAGCAATAAAGTATTCCTTATTTTAAAAGTCTTGTTTTCTACGCTTTTAAAATTTAGATTTGTGAAGTGGTGGGTACCATCATACCGTTCATCCACACGTGGGCGGAGCAGAATTCAGCGTTTGACCGTGTCACTGGATTCAATAGCTATTTTTATTCATTCATACTATATGGTTATCTATATTGACCTTCTAGAGTATCTATTTTTTCACCCACCAGTCATGTCATCTGAATTCAACACCCTGCCTGCCGTCAGAGCAAGCGATGAGCCTGCAATTAGCTCCTCTTTCGAAATTTAGAGTGGGACTATTAAGTGAAGGATTTTTAACTTCAAATCCAGGTTCCATCACATCGTGCATTAACGACATTTTATTAAAATCTCTCAAATAAAATCTGGGATAGGGGGAAAAAAGGCGTTTCAGCATTTTGGCTGCTTGCGAAATACTGTAAAAAAGAGATTTCGATTTCGTAGAACATCCACACTCGCATCTGAGCACGACTGAAGTCGAACTTCAGACAAAGCCATTTAACAGTTCAGCCACATCTAGTCAAGTGATATTAAAGGACAAAATACATTTCGTTCCAAAATCGTAACGAGGTACCCAAATCATACGGGTTCAAGTATGTTCTGTAAATGACAAAACGTTACATTTACGCGTTTTAAAACCCGCTGTTCTAACGGTTTATTGCATCAAATCTGGAAGGTTCTTAAGTGGCTCAGATCCTCCTGTTCAGTTACTTTGAGAAAACTTACTTTTTTGTCCCCTGATAACTTCTAAAAAAACTTATTTTCAGGACATTCCAGTACCAGCGTCCCCCCCTCAGATTCCCAATTGTTGCACCAAATGCATTTCAGGTCGCTACAGAGAAACGAGAACCAGTGAGATTGAAGCAGAAAGTAAATTTGCTGCAAAACACAACCGGACGGACCCCCTGTGAATAATTATTATGAGTGCAATTCCCTAAAGCCCCAGACCCCCTGGGGTTCAAGCAAAGCGTGCAACCGCAAGCACAGATAACGAGGGCCGCTCAGGTACATCTTCATAACCACTCAAGAAGGGCTTTGGAAAGAGAAAATAAATGCCATTTGCCTCTTCCAGAAAACATTTCACGGGAAACGAATGGGCAAGATTCTAGGGTTCAGCTCACGACGTTTACAGCAGCTGTTTTAGTGCACAGTTTCGTTTTTACCAAGCAGGTGGTTTTACTAGTAACAATGTTAACATTCCACTGTTGTGTTTACCTTATGCATGAGTGCGTTTCCAAAACTAAACTACTGCTCAGCGAAAGCAAAAGAAGTCGCTATGAGACCTGCTGCAGCGGCATGTTTCATACACTGTATCCATCACCACCCACAAAACAAACATATTATTTCCCCCAAAGTGGGCAACAGATCGGTCCCCGCATTTCTTGGCCGAAACCTTCCAAATAAACACGACAATCGGAAAGCATTTCGACTGTCAACATAACGAGAAAAAGGTGGTTGTTTTTTTACTCTGCATGTTTCGGTCTCGAATTCCCCGCATTCTTAATACGAACATTCCCCCCATATCATCACCGTACAAAGAGGCGATTGCATTTTTAAAATTTGGGGATATTCCTACCTCCTCTCTCGGTTCGGAGTTTTCCAAGCACGTAGACGGCGGGGTGTATTCGAATCGGATCAGTAGATGGATCCCTTTTTGTTGGCAGGCTCACTTCGCCCCAAAACACGGTGTTTTTTTTATATAAAAATAACACCTCACACACGATAACCGAGCTCACTGCTCGGCATTCACCACTTGGATCGGGAAAAGACTCCTTGGAGCAAATAGCCCACCGGAGCTAATCTGGAAATGCGCAAACGGGTGCACTTCGCTCAACTTCTAAAGCAAAAAAAAAAAGAAAACTAACAACCCCGTTCGAAAAACAATGGCTCACTAAAATTGAATGCAGCTCTTTAAGAGTGTCGGTTATGTCATAAATCCAGTGGAAATTAAATAATTCGCTTTTTCGTATCTAAAGCCTTGCTCCTGAATAAACACGTTTTTTTTCGATGCAGTTTAAGCGACTGCCTTCAAAAATAAAAAAAAATCACGCGGGTCCTTTACAGGTAGTTTTTTTCTTTGATAATGTCTGCAAGCTTTAATAATTACATTGATTGCAGGCGTGCCAACATCTAATGCAAAATCAAAGGTCCTCTTCCTTCGGCTTTTATTTATTTTTGCGATAGTAACAGATAGAGATTGATCTCTAATCAGGTGTCTTTCTGCCTCCTCCCCCTCCTCCGTCAGCTGCTTAAAAAATATCCCCAAAAGGTAAGTGGTCCTAGTGAATCCTAACACGCTGATTGTAGCCTTCCAATAGAAAAGATTGATGGGGTTGCAAGAAGAATAACAGTCAGGACCGTGTAATTCCCTTTCTCTCCCCCCCGTCCACTACAACACCCCCATATAAAAACACTAAACTGACAGACCAGCACACACACCCCCCCCCCTGCGCAGTCCGCGACACAGCCAGCAAACCAAAACTACATGAAGAGCAGAGCCCGCCCCTTACCCCCCGCCTGCCTTCGAGGAACAAGACCCTGATATCGCCCTCTATTGGCTGATCTGTGCTGTCACTCCGACGCGCTCGGCCGCTTCTCGCGTTGTCATTGGCGGCGGCTGCTGTCACTTTCCCGACACGTCGCTGTTGTCGAAGCTCCGCACCTGCTGCTGCAGAAACTAAAAGATGTTTGAGGGAAATAAAAGGGCTTCGGAAATCCGTCTAATCAAAATGGGTTTTTGAAACATGATTATAACGTATCATCATTTTCCTGCGTGTGATAAAAAGGCTTGCACTGATCTTATTTTTAATACATGTTTTGTAGTCTCTCATTATCATTGATCCTGGATTGAAGCAGGATTATTATTTTAAACTATTCGGGTACTGTCAAAAATCCAGTTTTGTTTCAGAACTCAGAAACAATCCTTGCAATTTGGATATCATTCACTTGTTTTGAGGAAAATCATGGGTCAGATGTCTCTACTTGTATTTGATTCAGCGGAAAATAGTTTATTGGTATGGCCGATTGTTTAAAGCGTTGTCAGATCACATTTAGATATTTAGGCACCATGTGCCGTCTCCGCTCTGAAATTTAGCAGCGGATTTCAAAAGGTGGTACATGAAATAAAGATTGTTATTAGCGGCTTCTCAATTAATCATTGATCAGCAAAAAAAACCGAGGGGCGGGGCAAACAGAGTGAGGTCATAACCCCTCCATACGCAGCCAATCAGAGCGCGCGTTGCTGCTGTGTCCTCCCAAAACAAAACGGTAACTTGTGGGATTTAACTTCTTGTGTTGATCATTGCCAGCAATCGGATCTGTGAGTAACAAAATACGGGTTGAAAGCGAATTATTTAATGAGCAAGAAAATAAATCCTGACTGTGAGCAAAAACAAACAAAAGGCAGGAAGTTAAAACTGCATTCTGCGGTGACCCTCCAGGGAGGTGGTGGTTTCGTTATCTGTTTAACAATTAAGGGAAATAGAAATAAAAAAAAAAACATGATCTACTGTACAGTAGCTCCAGATATGTTTACCTCCTTGGAACTACCTGAAGCAGACTATTGCCAATAGTGCAAGGCGACGGAGAAGCTATGAAGGATTGACTTTTGCTTTTGTGTTGAAGACAGACAATTCTATTTTCATCTTAACAGTCTCAAAAATTGTTCTGAAAAAAAAAATAGGACGAGGTAATAAACCATAATAGTGTTTGCTACCTTGTCTGTGAAGCAGTTAGAAAAAGTCGGCTGTTTTCCAAGCGCTTGAAACTGGTACAGAGTACTGCGATATAATACGACTGTGAGCGTGGTTTTAAACTTGCGAGGCGTGACTGATGCTTATCCCCTATGGTTAATAATGCATATCCCCTGTCAAAACGGTAGGGAAAGGTAGTTTCGCCATTAGCTAGATGAAAACGGATATCACATAAATTTCAATACAGAAGCTTAAAGACGTTATTTGCAAAGAGTTTATGATTTCTGATGATGATCCAGTATGATCAATTCTGTGTACCTAGTTCGCTACATCTCGGGCACACGTCAGAAGAAACAGGTGTGCGACGTGTTTTAGATGGGTAAGTTAGAAATACGTAACTCAATTATTTAAAGCGCAGTGCAGTTATAGCGAATCTGTTAGCATATATGCCAGTTAGCACACTGTGATTATATGCCGTTTTAATTGCAGTAATTCAGAACATAGTAGTAAGATAATTGTCAAGTGTAGGCGTCGCTTTTCAAAACCAAATAGTGTGATTTATGAGAAACCCCATAAAAACCGTGCTTGCGAGGTCAGTCATAACCGTGCGTATCACTCACTTGACGGAATCTACAGTATGCTGTACATGCAAGGCCATATGTTCGCAGGAGGCTGGTTTTCCTCCCTATATAATATTCTCACAAAGTTTTTCCAACACATGAGGGGTTATAATCTTCAATTCCTCATCATGGGTAGCCTGCTGTCAGCTAGTTACATAACACACCAGTTCCCACTTTGTTACTCGGTTATTTCCAGTTACCTCACCTGCTAAATCGTACAAGTAGAATATAACTTGAAATCTGCAACTGTTTGGAGGAAGTGAAAATAATCGAAATGGCTTGATTAATTAAGCTAGTCGATATGACTGTTTTTTTATTTATGGACGAATAGACTCTATTCTGAAGAGAGCAGGGGAAAGGGCAGAGTTTTGTAATTCCTGCATTCTTTGTATGTTCTTCAGATTTTTGTTTTCAAATATGCTGTTTTATAACTAGACTAAATGTCAGATTCCTTATGTGACCAATAGAATTGCACACACTAACAAAGTACACTCAGTGAAAAGGAAAGCACTCATTGTGAAATGTTTGTCATCATCTGCAGGGGGAGTGAGTGAAGAATTATCTGACAAAAAGTGATATATGTAGAATCCAATGTTTTGGCATGCTGTGCTTGTAAATTATTATTAATATAAGAAGAAATTGGCTGAAATGCTGGAAATTGTTATTTGCTCATAACTGAAAAGCTATGTGACCTAATGTCTTTGTTTAAAGCCCTCCAGGCAGCCCTGTATCTGTTCTATCTGTGGAATACATTGTGGATTTCATTGGCTCATCACTCAGTCAAGAATTTGTTTAAGATCTAACCTTGACAGGGAACATATCTGTATATTTGCATTGCACTTCAAATGAAAGGCAATCAGACCTGTTGAATGCAATCTGACTCTCCTTATTTAGAATTTTAGGATCTGAAAAGTACCTAATCCGTTCATAAGAAAGACTCAACAGGTTTTGATTTTCTTCTTTAAATTTCCCAAAAAAAGGTCATTTTACTCTGGTGCATTGCCAGAAAGAGGTTAACTTGAGTCGTCGAACTCTTTGTAGTTATCCATCAGATTTAAAAAAAACACAGATTCTTTTTTCTCCCTGCTGTCTTCCTTTATTTTTCGTATAAATTGAGTCTTTTTCCTAATGAAATGGTCTGAAAGTACCGTTGGTTCAAACTGCTGACCACAGAGAGCAAGAGATTACAGAATTGTCTATTATGCAATGCATTCTACATTCTAGAAGCCTATTGTCGATGAGATGGAACACAGCTGCCACAAATGGCTTGGTTCTTTTTAATAGGAAATGTAGAATTTGAAGTGCAAAGCCTTTTATTTGGTCTTTTACAGCGCTGAATCTGTAGTGACCCATATAATGTGGCTTTCATCTCGGGGTGAAATGCTCTTTAAAGTAAAACAAAAACTAAGACAAGTTGGATCTGCTTTTACATCTTCTTTCAAATCTACTGCTTAACACTTTTTAGCAGTTCATTTTATTTCTGTTGATCTGGATTTACTCCTATTTGGTAAATTCCCTGTTTTTGACTTGTTGCGTCTCAGGCTTTTTAAAAAAAAATACCACTGTACATAATTGCGCATGACTAAATATCCATCTGTTTTTTTTTTCCCCAAGAACCAAATCATTTGTCCTTGTTTTGACCTCCAGTGTTGGCTTCTGATGCAAAGCATAGGGGTTTATAATCTTAAGCCTTTCTTGACGTTGGTTGATGACCGGGATTTTGGAAAGCCTTGCAAAGGTAGCTGTGATGCCGCATCCAGCACTTTTGTTGAACTGAAAGTCGCAAAAAAAATCAGGAGCTCAAGATGAAAGAAGAGGGGTCCCAAGTGCATTTAATTGCTTCTTTTTATCACCGAAAAAAGTAGCTTGCATCAGTGTGTGCATCCAGTTTTAATTCTGATTTGGTTCGCACTATATTTAAGGTCACTTCTGAGGAGCGCAGTGAAGGCACCCCTCCTGGTGCAGCTTGAGCACGTGTGCCCCTGGGTGATCAGACATAGCGCTACAGAAGCCCTCCCATCACCTTTGTCACAGGGCTGTCTAACACAGCCGGCAGTTCAATCTGTCACCGGAATCTCTTTCCCCTGTGTAATAAGCTTGTCTGACATTGCCCTCTCTGTCCTGAAGCAGACACAGAACATCCGATTCAGCCTCCATTGCTCCCAGCCCCGCTTAATTCTGGGGCGCGGATAAAACTCCTAATTGACACAGTGGTTGGGTCCGTTTCAGCTTTTAAGAGCTTGTAGGCTCTTGTACAGTGCGTGCTGCTGGAGCAGGAAGGTAATGTGGTTAATTTCATTTAAATTGCCTGTGACGGCCTCTGTGCATTTGCTCAAAATAAGGTAGTAGGCTTGAAATGTTCGGTGCCTGAGTTTCTCACTGGCTTATATAAGAGCTTCCAGCTCAGAAACGCCGGAATGGATCAAGCAGGAAACCTGGGGGTGTCATCTGAGTCCCCTGTCCTGCTGTGCTTCAGCAGGGCATCCACAGGGCTCTGTTTAATTCACTTTCACTCACTTTGGGGATTTTGCAAGGCTAGAGGTTTTGATCTATTGCAGTCAACTCCAGCAGCGCCAGCCAGATGACTGTGATGAGTCTTTTCAGTGTTCTTTAAGCAGCTTTAAGATTGTTATTCTGCCTGTGTATGGAGAAGGCCAAAGGCGCTTTACTGTATGTTAAAAGAACTGCACATCCTTCATTTCAATCTAAATTTTGCATGGTTCTTTTTGTTCTTGTTTTAATAATACTTATTTTATTAAATACAATAGTTTATGTTCTGAGTCCCTTAGTCATGGCCTTTGTGAGTAGAGTAACAGAAGCATGCAAGAAGTTCTCTTTTTTTTATTACAGGGGCTCGGTTTGAAAAAGACAGTCTGATTTTCTTTTGACATAATCTTTTTATATCAGCTGCAGTGAAATGTGCAATTTTATTCCTACTTCAACCAGGTAACCTGGGGCTAATTCTTCTTTACTTGACATTGGTAGTTGATTTAAAACTAAAACTGGGCAAGCCAGTGCATTGACAGAGCCTGTCGGCTGTAATATTAATAGACAAACCTCAAAGGGCAAATGTACATTTCTGACGAAATGGGAAAGTGAAAGCACAGAAGGAAAATAACGTATGTAGAATTCCCATCATTTGGGTATTTCAGCTCTTTGGCAAAATGCTGAACTTGGATTCGCTGGAGTTATTAATCTCCGCACTTTAAGATACAACCTAACAGCCTCTCAGTCTTATTGGGTTTAATATCCTTGCAGTGTTTGTCTGCTGTTGTTGCCTGTGATTTATTTATAATGTTTTCCGAAAACCTGTTGCACTGGTGGTTAAAATAAAAAGTTTAGGTGCACAAACGTGTCATTTCAGTCATTTTCGGGAGACAGTTTTCATTTTTCTCCCCTCTTAAATGGAAGCAGTGGAATGATTTAACATGATCTTCTATCTTCCCTTTTCTTCAGCTGCAATTCAGATGATTTGCCACAACCCAGATTGTGAGCAGTATTTTATGTCGGTATCAAATAATGCATATGAAAATTAAAGTCATATATATTTCTTTGACTGTGGCATCTCAGGATAATTTTAATTTTCCATGTTATTTAATTTAAAATTAAAATTTTAAACTCCTAAGAGTTAAGTGGGTAATCAATCAGCCGAAGTTTAACAGCAGCATATGAAATCACTCTGGCCTTGATGGTTAGCACGAAATGCAGAGTTAAATTTTACCGCATATCTATCCTAGAAAATATATTGGTTTAATTTGGTCAGTGCCAGTGGGTTTAGGGAGTTGCAGCTGTTCCAAATTTATTGTTTCCGACAAACCACAGCAATCCATATGGGTCAGTTGTAACTCTTCCATGTAAAATCTGATATGCTGCAGTGGGTTTTGTCAACAAGGGATGCTATGTGAGGAACAACAGAGTAGCAGCAAGACACTGACTGACCTGTGGTGGCCTGCCAGAATTTAATATTGGCCCCCGATCGTCTCACTGAGCAGGGAACTGTAGCCTGGCCAGGGTGGCAGGAGCCCTGGGGTCATAACTTTTCTCTCTCTTTCTCAGGCCCCTTCAACATGAACCTGCTGTGACCTCGGTTAATTAAGTAAGACGTGCTGAAGCAGTGCTTCCCACCCTGAGGCCCACATGTGTATCATCTTCTTCAAGTTCGATCCTCGCCCTGCCTCCAAGACTGCGTACAGGTGACAATGTCCTCTTTGGGGAAAAAAAAACAAAACGTTTGCATCCACTGTGATCCTACGGAGGGGGCAGGGAGACATTTGTAATGTGTTATTGTGTGTATAGTGGAAGTTGGATCTTGGTGGTTTTAATGTAATGTGTTTCTGGAGGTTTGGCTTTGCTTGCTTGGAGTGTTTGGATCTCCCGAGAGAAGATCCAGTCCTATATCCTGGACGCTAGTCTGAAGTAAACATGGCACAGTGGCATGGTAGTTGGTGCTGTTGCCTTACCGCTCCAGCGTGCTGGGTTCAATTCGGGCTTTCAGAGCTTGTCTCTGCACCGGGTACACGTTTTCAACACGTGGACTTTATGATGTCCAACACTTTTGGAGGGCACTCTATGTTCGAATGATTTGTAAAAAAAGACACTAAATTGTCTAGCATGCGTGGATGTTTAAGGGTCATGCCTAAAGTGTCCCAGCTTTTGATCTGCTGCTAGAACTGTAACACAGAGCTGTATTTGTGTACCGCAATTTCTAAAATCTAAAGTAACTGATTTGACCTTTTTTTTACAATATTCCCTACATATCAGTTATATAAAAAAAACCTGAACTTAATACCATGGACTGGTAATTATTGAAGTACACTGCATAAATATGAAACCGTGGTCAGTAAGCATCAAGTATCAAGCAAATCAGATGCACAAAGATCAGTTTCATGTGAGATCTATTGAAGAACCAAAAGGCCTTAGAAATGTCAGAAAAGAGCTGAAGCTGCCCTGTTCTCTGCTCTCAGTGGTCACATTCATGGTGTCTGTGTAAATAAGCCTTCATACATTCTCTAGATCACAAGGTTAAAGAGTCTCCTTTTGTTAACCTTTCCTTTTCAGTCAAAGCTAATCTTTTCCCAAGAGGAATCTTGCAGGTCAGAGGTAGAAAAGTCAATGCCTCTGACTATGCATTTTACAGACATGCATTTAATAATCCCATGCTCTGTGCTTCTAAGAGGTATGGTTTAGTATTTATTATTCATTAGTATAATTAGAGCACTGCTGAGGTATGAGTTCAAAGTTGAATTATTTTCTGTCACTCTCATTTGACCTTATAACTCATCATTTCTAGGTTGTTGCAATAACTTGTATTGTAGTCAAAAGATCTGATTAAAAGGTGACTTGTTGATGGTGTGATTGTGTTTCTGTTAGCAAATGACTTCTCTAACCTGAAAAAAAAAAGATTTTTCAGGTTTCAGAAATTCAGTCTCAATTCCAAACAGGTATATATTTGCATATTAAGTTAAGCTGACAGCATTGATAACACTGGAATGGTTAAAGTACAGAAGATTTACTGCAGCTCTAGTGTCAAATGAAAATGAGCACTGTATGTTCCTTTCTGAGAAGAACATTTTTCAGCAATTCAGGTTACATAATCTGTGCCGAGATCCACAGTGAGGAATGGCAGGATAGAGCATATTTTTCATACTACCACTGTTCTGGGAAAGGCTCTGAGCTCTAGTAATCAGATCTCTCTGGTGCTTTAATCAGTGGCCTAGCAGATAATGATGCACATGTGAAGAATCATTAGCCGTTTTTGTTTCTAGGAATCAATTGACTTTGTTAGCAGTGCACACCATTGGAAATTGCTTTGTATCCATTAGTCTGTGATGCTTTTGTGTTTGCCCTCTCTAGGTCATTGTTATGTATGGTTTTTTTTAACCGATCACTTTCTTAAGATGAATGGGAGCTCCACTACAGGGCAGCTACAATGAATAGCAAGAGATATAAAGAGGGAGTCAGTGATTATTCCTTGAAGAACTGGTAGCGTACACTCGTACCCTTCCGATTCTGAATTCCTGTCAGCATAGGGAATTGTAGGGGCATCACCCACTGACTTCGGAACACAGCTTGCACCATAAGCAGTTCAGTTATCTTGCTTCAAAGATGAACTTTCATCTGTAGGTTATTCTTTCATTGGAGTTACATTTTAAAAAAAGCTCTATGAAATCTGTGCAATATGCACTGAATATCTGCCTGGCATTGAATTTGGAAGTACAGGCCTTTAGGCCTACATAATTTGCCTGCACCAGGCTTGTTAACACAACCCTTATTGGGAATAAGCAGTGAATGGTTTTACATATGCTATCTGGAATTAGAAACATTTATTCAGCTCTTATTAAATTTTTGACAGTGACATCAGTTGCTTTATTATTACTGACTGACTGTAATTCGTGACAGATGTCTTGAGGGGAGTAAGGGTGACACTGACTTAAATTGTTACTTTTATTGTTTTCTTATTATTCCCAGAAACGTGCTGAGGTCACTCCTTTCATCAACTGCAGATTTAAATCTGCTCATTACAAATAGTCAGCATTTCTGACCACTGGAAAGAAAAAAGAATGTTGTTCCCCTTGACTGGAACTGTGCACGAGTGCATAGCAGACTGGACTGTACTTTGTGCATTAACCCTCTCTTGTGTTATTTTTGATGTTATTTCCTCGCGTTTTGGAATCCCTGATTCTGTATCTCCCAGTTTCTGCTGCTACAGCCCATGCAGCACACTGGGGGAGTGAGGAGCTGTGTGCTTCCACCTGGCAGAACTATTTATGGTCTTGCCAGTCCTGGTCCTGGAATCCCACACACCTGTCAGTTTCTGTTGAAGCCCAGCTCTCAGTTGTACCATTGAACCCTTAATTGACCTGACAGGATTCATTTGAACTGTTTGATTGTTTTTGGCTCTTAAACATGTTGGAGGTTGCCTTTTAGCTATTGGATCTCCCCCGTAAAAGTGTCATTCCAAAACTTCCGAGCCCAGAGGGGGGCGGGGGACCACTTGCACATGTTCCAAGGAAGCGCCGTTAAGTTAGTGGCTGGAATGACAATCGGCAGGTGTGTCAGCCTCCAGGATCAGGATTGGGAGCAGCTCCACAAAACGGAGACTCGATCCAGGCAGGTTTCAGAAGTTGCTGTTGCACCAAAATCCAAGGACGCCTGGTCCAACTAAAGCACAGCCAACCTTCTGTGGACCTGAGATTCCCAATCTCAGTCAGTTAGGGACCTTGGCCAGTCTTGTACCAGCAGCATTTGGGTCCTAGGGCCCTACCTGTTCTCCAGGAAAGTGCTTTTACCAGATGAGCTACCTGGGAGTCCCATCACAAGAGTGGTAAAGCCCCTGTACCAGAGGCAGAATCCTGGTTGTGACCTATGACCTGTATTTTGGACATGCCTTTCTCAAACGAGCCTCGTGCTCTCCGGAGGGCCTCGCCATTGGTAATAAATGCTAGAGTTAGCGATGCAGATCCTGTATCTCTGCACTATTCCCTAGAGCGGGATAAGCGTAATGAAACATTTTCTGCAACATCAGCACAGTCACAAAATGAAGTTTAAACCAAGATCTGGGAAGGATGGCAGCAACGGAAGAAGGAAAAAAAAATATCACGGACTGTTGCTGAGCATTGATGTTAAGTCACCAAGTCACGCACCATTGAAATACTAAATAAGCGACAGTTGTGCAACGCTAGTGAAAGTCTCAGGACATTAGCATCAAACACAGCATTAGTAGCATCAGCAATAATGGCTCATCAGCCTGCATGTGCAGCTTTCTGTATAGAAAAATTTGTTTGACATAAATGTATTTTTCAGTTGAATTTGTTTTCTTGCAAGTTTTTGAATTCATAGTATGGAAAGGCCTTTTGACTGTGTGGCTCGACAGTGTCATCTGTCCATTTGTCGTTGTTAACGGTGTCAGGCAAGCACCCTCAGTTTTATAGAAAGGCAGGAGGGAGAATGGAAGGGTTTCACACATGTAGTGGCGAAGAAAATTCTCCGTCCGACCTACAGACAAACGAAAGCCAGGAATCGGAGATCTGTGCTGGCGGAGCCAACTGTATTTCTGGGGCACGCGAGACCTGCTGGCGAGGGCAAGTGAAGTGCAGGGATTAATCGCGTAATTTGCTGTGCTAAAGCCACTGGCAGCTTGGATCAATTTTAAGTGATCGGCCTGTTCATTATCATAATGAGGAAGTATAATTACAGCGTTCGCTCCCCAGCTGGGGAAACGTACCGTCTAATAGGCTGCTTGCGAGAGCTGCCGCATCCCCTGGCAAGGAGAGCAGGCTTTGTGAAAGGCTGGCTGGGAATTTCATTCTCAGCAGCGGAGAGAGGGGATGCTCTCACACCTTGAGAAAGGCCCCACTTCCCTGTGTTACTAAGAACGTCTCCTGTGCCTCAGGGGGGTTTTGTTTTGTCTCTGCAGGAAAGGGCCTCTTCTTTTGCATTTTCTTGTCGTCTGCATTGCAGATGCGCGGTACATTTGGAAGGAGCACCCTGTGAGAAATTCTCATTGGATTGTATTTTCATTTTTTGGTCGTTTTTTTTTTTTTTGGTGAAGCTCCACTGCACTGCCTCAGGTGGTCCGGCATCGGCAGGACACTGATGGAGCTCTCCGTGGATGATTGATTGTGTGTTGTGCTTATGACAGCGGCGCATGACCTATCCCTCAGCAAGCTCTGCAGCGCTCCGCCACCTCTTCCTTCTTATTAGGCATGAAACAAGGCATACAAATTAGCACAGGGAGGGAAAAAAAAAATGATCTGTTGGCGCTGTGCTTCTTTGAAGTATGAAAGCAAAAGTTTTTTTTTCTCTTCCCTGTAAAAAATTGTTCGGATAGTGTGAATAAACAAGCATCAAAAATGATTACATTGGTGCATCTAATATCTAATACAGGGTCGCGGGGAAGCTGGAGCCTATCTTGGCAAGCAGTGGGCGCAAGGCAGGGTACACCCTGGATGGGACGCCAGTCCATCACAGGGCAGATGCACAGACACACACTAAAAGCCAGTATTCCCAGAAGCCAGTTAACCTAACAGTGTGTTTTGGGGTTGTGGAAGTAAACCGGAGCACCTAGAGGAAGACCACGTGAACACAGGGAGAACATACAAACTCCACACAGATAGCACCCCAGGTCTGACATTGAACCCTGGGCAGCACAATGCTAACTGTTTAAACATACTGTATATGCTCAGGAAAAAATTACATAGCAAAATTAACATATCTTGATCATCCAAAAATATTGCTTTTTCATAAAATTATTAGGAAAAAGAATAATTCCTTATGTAGTTGTTACACTGACCTTTTGTTGAATGCACAAAATGCATTGATTAGCATTTGCCATCAACAAGAGATTCCACCATGGGAAGAAATGTCAACTATATACAGTATCATCCATTGTGTGTTCAAATCACCCCTTTCTCTAAGGCAGTGATATAGTAATCTATACTATCTGAGATTACTGGCTTTATGATGCCTGAAACAGTTATGAGTATCCAAAATCCGTATACTTTTTTTTGCTAATAGCCTACATGAATATAAGAACAATATTCCTTTGATTCTCACTATTGATTGTCAAAGGTAACCTGTTTCTCAACTAAAGCTGCTGTTATTATTATTGGTTTCTCCTTCATGAGCACTGCAGGAGACATAAAACATCCTTTCTGTTTTTCTTTGTTTTTCCATCTTTTAGGCTGATTTTGGCCGCCAACAGAGATGAACTTTACAACAGGCCATCCAAGATTGCACATTTTTGGGGAATCAACAACGAGGTGCTCAGCGGTAAGGACAGAGCTGAACTGCACAATTACATGAGATGTGAAGGAACATGCACAGCATAATTTTGCAGCTGAGTGTCTGAATCTGTGCTTTTGCGTGACAACTATTTGCACGCATCTGCTTAACCAGGCGCTGGTTTCTGCATGAGCTAACCTTTTGTATTAGTTTTTGTGAAAAGATGTTTTACTTTTTTTATTAGAACCTTTCATAAGCACTTTGGAAAAAGAAGGCATGTTGGGATTCTTGAATATTATAACCTTGCCTCAAGTACTGTCTGTGGCTTTTTGAAATATCATCTTCCATTGCAGAGCTGACACTGTGATAAAGAGGAGACAAGGTTGTTATAGGCAGAGGAATTAGGAGCAGAGTGTCTCCTGCTGTACATTAAAGGCATTGCTGTTTAATGTCTTCTCGGTACATTTGTCTCCATTGTCGACTCTGCCATCCTTCAGAATATGATAAGGGCGCAGGACTGAATAGAAGTGATATTTTTATCGTGCTTTTCATTATGTTGTCTGAATTAAGTCATGCAATTTAATCATGGGTTTGATCTAAGTATCACCCCGACATCTAGTAATAGCATCAGATATATGGCAGTTCCACTGGAGTATGTGAAAGCCTTCACAAACTTCTGGAGGAATTAATTTCAGCAGCTAGCAAGGTGAATATTTGTGACTGACAAAAGAGGCTGTGAATACATTTTTAAAGATCTGACAGAAAGCCACCTTTAAATGTCTTAATCTACACTGGACAGGTGGAAGATTCATTTAAATGTTTAGATCCCTTTATTTTCTTTGCATTGCTGTACAGTAGTCAAGTATTTTCTGTATTATGTACCCATTCAAAAGATAAGCTCCTGCCCCAGTGGTGAGAAGTGTGATGTGGAAGTTAATGGGGTCTTTGTATTCTCTGGTCTCCCTCGGTCACAGCCGGATGCCGAATGTATGCATAGCAAATAATTGACATGTGTGGCTCAAGTGGAAACAACACAGCAAACCTTTTCATATTAGGATTCTTTATTTTTGTGAATATCGAGTTTTTATCCCTTTGAATGCATAACGTATTTTTTTAATTAGTAATAGCAGTTTAATAGGATTATTTTAAAATCCTATTTAAAAACAGTACAATTTGGTCTCTGCATTATCCCTAATTTATTTAATACGTGCCTCAAAATGGCTAGCCTATTAAGTTGTATTACAGTAGGCGTATCATTCCAATTTTTCCTTATAAATATTTGTATACACGTACACATTTACTTTTTTTTGTTGCTGTTTTTATGTCCCTGCCCCCAGTCAGTTTCTCTCCCTTGCCATGAAATTGGTTATACTGTTTATGAGCTGCTGAGACCCTTGTATAGACGAGTGAGCTGCACTTTCCTTCAGAATGTGCCCTGCTGGAGCTATCCAATTTCGGATCGCACGGCTAATCCTTCAGCACCCTCAGCAGCGTGGGCATCGTTTGGAGGAGCGCTGCAGCTCTCGCTGGCAACACTGCAAGCTTACAGGTGCCCACCAAGTACCAGGGGTGGGCTGCTGTGTGGGTTGCTGTTCCAGCTATGGTGTTGCTGCTGCTTGAGGAATCTGGTTACGGGTGGGGAGTGGCAAAGCTCGGATTTGAACCAGTGATATCCGGACTGTAGTGTGCCCTCTGCGCCCTGAGTGAACCCTTTATTGTTTGGGGGTCCCCATGTTCATTTGGTAACGGAGTGGTGTTGGTGACGCTCTTCCATCTGGGCCAGAATTTCCTCGCCAAGGCCCCAGCATGGTGACTGAGGAACAGGCTGCAGTAGGTGCCATCCTGCTGATGAGACATGAACAAAGATAGTTGATCATTACAGATCCCATGGCATTGTTCAAAAGAGTAGGGATGTTAACCCCAGCTTTCTGGCTGCACAGTCTAACCTCCCTAAAGTCAATTGGTCAAAAAGTTTAGCACTGCCTACAGTATATTGTGATGGATACCGCTCTTCAGTTGTGGATGAAGTGGGTCCTCTCCTATACTGTATGTGAAGTGATCTGGAATGCTTTAGGATGATAAGCACTACACTATATACAATCAATTAAATAGTATCTTGGTGTTTCCTCTATTCATTTAATTACTTTACAGAGCTTTTTTTTACCTAATTAAAAAGTGAGTCACATAAAGTTGGGGGAGTATAATGAAATGCTAAAATGCTCTTGTTTAGGGTCTTTTTCTTCTGGTTTGGGATTGTATTTTGTAGAAGGTCAGACCAAACTTGTATGGGGAGCACACATCAGAAATGCTGTTTTTTTGGAATAAACATACAGTATTCTGTGCCCTTTAAAAGTAGTACTGTTTATATGGAAATAATTGGAAGTGAGTTTTGATGTTTTTCTTCTGATGAATCATTTTAGTGTAGGCTTTTTTGTTTAACTTGCAGTTTTACTGTCAAGTTTTCCAACTGAGCCAAACTCCTTTTATGGCTGTTTTCTTTATAGGTATTTCATTATTGGTCCTCAATTATTATAGCTTAATTATTTAGGCATTCTATGTTTAGGACACTTTGCTATTATATTGAAATTAGCTTCAGAAAATTACAACTGGGGGGAAAAAAAACAATCTTCCAGGTTTTTTTTTAGTAAATATTAAACAGTTCTTCATTATCAGATCATTGGTGAGCTCTGAAGTCAATGATGTGTAATTGACTGATTGCCTCTCTCAGGTTCTCTATCAGACCGAACAAGAAAATCGATTAACGCTTTTTTTGTCCTTCAGAAGGAAAATGGGGACTCTCAGCTGTTCTTCATCAGTCTTTTTTTTTTTGTTTAAAGAGAGTTTGAAGCTCTGGGAAGAGGCTTTTCATTGATGGATAAGTGTATTGGCAGTGGCAGGAATAAATTACTGCTGCTCTCGTTGTGGTCCAAGGGGATTCATGTAGATCCTGATTTTTAGTGATGGAGTCAGCTATTGTAGAACTGTTTGGGCTCATAGTTCACTTGCCTGTCCACATCAAGAGTAAGAAAGTGTACTCATGTTCACTTTATTTTCCCAGAATACCTTTCATGCTTCACCTGCTATCCTTCCGAGATCTATGTCTTAGAACAGACAGATGAGACGAGACTTTTAAGTTTCTTTTTGTATACCAGGAGTTGGTATTGTTTTTGAATCAAGCTTTGTGCTCGTAGTTATGGGTGTGTAGTATAACTTTCCATATTGTAATGGGGTACACAGCCTTCTTTAGCATCTAAATTCATTGCTTTCTTGTGCTGGCCCTACCTTTGCTGATGCCAAATCTGTTTTTCTATTTTTCCCGACTTCATATATGAAGATTCAGAAAGTCCCAGGTGTTTCAGAATGTCCCATATTATTACTTGACCAATATGTGAGTCAGTGCACTGCAGCTCTGCACCATTCTAGAGAATATTTTAAGCATTTCTCCCATTACACAGGGTTGTTATACGCTACCAGACAGCCTGAGCAAACCAACAGGCCCTGCAAATTTGCTCTGACCTTAGTACTGTCTGTAAAAATGCAGAGCCCAATAATTGAAGGTGAAAGTTTGACCACACTCAGCAATTTGTGCATTTCGCTGCCAGCTTTGTGTGTGCTTTTCTCATGGTGAGGTTTAGTACTACAAAGTGTGAGCCCATTAATGCTAACAAAGATGCAGGAGAGGCTGGATTTACAGGGATTCATTTCAATCACTCTTCTTCTTCAAAGCTTCTACTGCCTTTGCCCAAGGGTGAGTACAGGGCCCCTTTAACAGCAGTCTCTCCAATGTTGTCTCAGTGTTTAGAAATATTTTTTGAGCGATTGTTGATCATGCATAAAATCAAATAATGAGACTTCCGTTGTTTATGTGTATAGTTATCATATTGCATCCTTTGTTCACAGTCAACACATTACTTTTATGAGAACATGGTTCCTATTTTTGTATCTGAAAATGTGTTTTATCTGAAAATGTCAACATCAGATGTTTTTGTTTAGCAACTCATGATATTTTGTATATGAGGTCATGAGAGGAATCAATCTGATCTATGCCTGGAAAAAGTGGTAAGATGGGGTTTGAATAAAAGGGAAGCACAATAGTGTTTGTCACCTAACTCACTGCAGTGTTCCATTATCATTAGGTGCTGCTTTCAGAATAACATGCTGACATACAAATTGCATTTTGCATTGGAACCATTAGTTAAACTGTATATATTGCATAATTAATATAAGGAAGTGTGCTTTATGAATAATTTTGCTGGCATCATCACCATATTAAATCGCACATCTCAAATATATAAAGACTTAGAACTGTGATTTGTGTTTGTATCAACCACTGATGAAGTTGATTTAAGAAATAAGTGAGATTGTAATACTGATACCTACAAAAAATACTTCTGTCATTTCTTTGGAGAAAACTACAGTATGACCTGCATCCTCTGCTGTCTGCTAAGTTGTGTTCTGACCTTTTCAAGTATTTTTAGAAACAGTACAAAATAGTTGTTTGAGACTGCTGGCTCAGTCATCCTTTGAGAGCTGAGAATCACCTTGGCTTTTTCAAAGCTTTGTAAAACTTTTGTTTTTACCCAAGGGGAAAAAAAACGGAATCTCACCAGAAGGGTGTCATCTTAAAGGGTTGAAACAACACTTTTTTAATGAACAACTTTCTCTTACATTACATAACCTTTTTCCATGCCAATTTTATATAAAATGAAATACTGCATAATTAAACCACATAGTTAAATGTGTTGGTGTACCAGCCCCATGCCTAGGTTCATGAGACTACAGTATGCAGTGGGGGTTTCTCCTATTTTGTTCAAGTTGATATTAAATAAACGCCCATTGCTTTCGCTTCTGGATTGTACGCTAACACTAGCCATACAGATGTCCAAGTCAGTGACAAATGGTTCCCTTCTTGTGTATGGAGAGGATATCAAACTAAAATCTCTTTTCTTAAAAGAGATTAAAAAGCACAAAACATTGAACAACGTTTGGTGTACTGTATGTACATGTGCATGTTTTTCTTTTTAACTGTGCTCAGCAAGTCCCCTATATTTTAGGGGTCACTAGAACATTTTGCTCAAGGTTCACGGCCTGTTTCTGTGACAGGGCTAGACTTGGAAGAAGGGAAGGAAGGAGGGTCATGGCTTGGGATCACGAAGAGGGGCAAGTTTGCAGCGCTGACCAATTACATGGAGGCCAAACAGAACCCTGATGCCCAGGGCAGAGGTGAGGCTCTGGTCAGAGTGTCTAGGCAGCACAAAGAAGCTGTTTGTAATCTGCACTCCCTCTTTATTTGTTCCTGTTTGCTCAAGACCAAGAAGATGCAGCCTTATTCCTTTCTCAGCTCAAGCAGCCCAGTCCTGGGATTAGCTGCCTTCTCTATATCATCTCAAGTACAGCCATGTCTTTCCTTAAGTGTGATCCTTCAAGTAGCTGTTATGCATGCGCATCTTAATATTTGGTTTGCTCCTCCACATCGTTGAGATGTCATTCTGTGTCTCCCTGCAATGCTGAACTGCTCCCAAAGGTCTCTGCTCCCCCTGCTTGCTTCATACAGCCCCCAGTTTGAACTCGTGAGTTGCTGATTTTATAGCTTTCCACAGTAAGCCTGTGAGAATCTGGCACCGGTACACAGCAAAATGTATTTTTCTCTTTCTCTGACAGTTCTCGGCAGAGCAACTTTTCTTCCCATTGCATTAACCTGAAAAATGAATAAGCACATGTCTGTGTTTGCAGCCCCCAATGGGTCTGAGAGTCAACATCTAGTTCAGTCTGATAGCAGATGCTTAATCTTCTCTCCACTCATTCTTCAGCTGCGCCTCACAGATGTGCTATACCCTGAAGCAGGGTGTCTTTATTGGAGTTGTGGGATGCTGTGTGTTTGGGTTTTATTTTTTAAAGGTCTCTGATTCAGCCGTTTCCTCTCCAGGCCTTGAAGTACTGTGAATTAATATCCAAACGCTAAGCAGCTCAGGACCCTATTGATGACGGACAGCTAGAAGCCAAAGTGGTGAAGAAAAAAGTTAAACAAGTGATTGAAGTTTTAGTGCAAGCGAAAGGATGTCAATTACCCAAGACTGATCACAGCCTTTAAACCTTTTACCAGATAATGCTTTCCCCTCATGGCTTTAATGCTTTAGTAGGCTGATTATATAGCAGCATTGATCAGGAGACATGCAGGACTGAATAATCTGTGTAGAGGGAGAGGAGGCAGAGAAAAAGTCTTTGTATGATGTGGCTGTTACTCTTGTTTTGCCTGTGTTAAGGTCAATTCTAACTAGCTGCATTTGGATGAAAACTCTCCATGGTAATTAAATGAATGACCAAATTCCTGACCTTATTTGTTGTTAAGAACCTTACTGGTTCTTAATTTTGTAGATATCAGAGTTTATGATGTTAGGTACTTCTGAGTCCACAAGCTCTCATTACTGTACTTTCTACACTTTTTGTTAATTTCAGGTGAGATGAGTTTTGTAATTGGTGCAACATTGCCCAGAAATAGGAGAGCTGAGATCACATGTCGGATTCATGAAATTAACAACAAAGTACCTGTGTCGCATTACATTGTTTGCTTGTTTTTGCAGGGTTTTTGGTATCAAACTTCTTGACAGAGAATGTGGACAGCTATTCCTATCTGAAGAAAGTATCTTCTGAAGGGCATCTGTACAATGGCTTTAATTTGATCGCTGGGGAGTTCAAGTGAGTAATCAACTAAGCAGAAAACGAATGGCAAGTTTTTGATTAAAGCGAGGTGACAGCAGGAGCAAGGCAGGCATCAGAAGTCCCTGAAGAGAGGATTTGTTGTCGACATTAAGAGACAGACCACATTAGAAATTACGTATTGTACAGAGCGGTGGCTCTGTGGCTAAGGATCTGCGCCTGTGGCTGGAAGGTTGCCAGTTCGTATCCCGCGGCCAGCAGAGGAATCCCACTCCATTGGGCCCCTGAGCAAGGCCCTTAACCCCAACTGCTCCAGGGGTGCCGTATAAATGGCTGACCCTGCGCTCTGACCCCAAGCTTCTCTCTTCTCACATGTGTGTCTCATGGAGAGACAAGCTGATGTATGCAAAAAGACAAATTCCTAATGCAAGAAATTGTATATGGCTAATAAATTGATCTTATCTTACCTGTGCTTTCCTGCATAGGGTTTTCAGAACTGAAAAGTACGTGCATTTCAGTTCAGTAGGTCCACCGAGTGGTTGTGCAAGAACTTGTTATGCAGCTGCATCCTCCTTTCTTTCTGTTTCCCCTCCCTATTTAAACAAGAAGGCATGTCTTTGGACATTGCAGTCAAAGCTGGTCCCTTTCCCAGAACTGAAAGGAGAGGTCCTAAGATGTACGTATAGCCTTGTTTCATGTTTAATGATTCGTATCAAGTTGTGCTTCCAAAATATTATTTATGAAATCATCAGGTAAAAAACGTTACAATTTGAAATTATGACGAATGTTGAAAAAGCTTCAGTATCATTATTAATGACTTAATGCTTTTTAGTGAAAAAACTTGGAAGACCTTCAACAGGGTTTCACAATAAATCCTTACGCCATTACACCACCGGCATGAAAACTGTTATTGTATACAGGCAGGTCTGTCTGTCCAGCGTACCACATATCTCTAATTCCTGGTGATGTCGGTTTAGGGGAGTATAGCATATTACAGACAAGTTTTTAAACATGTAATTTGCTTGCTTTCCCTCCATAACCAAACACACTTGACGTTCTCTCTATTGTGAACCACTTTGATTTGAAGTAAATGGTCTAGGCTGGTCTCTGCAGGCTCCAGTGTCTTAGTGGAAAGCTGTTTAGAAATTCAAATGATCTTGTTAAAGTAAGATGTCGTGGTTGTAGCGTGATAAACAGTCAAAGAAGCAAATGGCAAATTCCGCTGAGGCATTGGCTGAGAAAAGCAATTTCTTTTTCACCCTCGGTAATGATGTATGCCACAGCCGAGCCATCATCTGGAGCTGAAATCATTCAATTTCTCATTGTCTGCTGGGTGCTCTCTGTCTGATGAACTGGGGAGGAGATGTATGGATCCTGACAGATAGGTGCTGTGTTCAGTGTAATGGAAGAGAGAAAAATGGCAACTGTCATTACAATTTATTTGTTTACCTCTTTAATAAACAGCCTCATTATAGAGCTATTAGTTTTCCCCCTGCAACTGAAACAAAAATGATATCTGTGCAGACAGCGCAAAAGTTTTTTATTGCAGATGGCTGTTTTGGGAGGAGGGAGAGGATCAATAGTTATATCTTGCAGCAAGTGCTGAATTTACACATCTTTGAACCGCAAATTACATCTCAAGATCTTTTATCTATAGCCAATGAACAATAAATGAAGGTCTGATGTAATGACGCCACATGCAGGCTGCAGTATATTTGGTAATTATTATTCATGGATAAGGACTTTTTAATACCAGTTTACTCACACTGTATTAAAGTTCTCTTCATGTATAAAGGGTTATAAGTGGTTTATATGTGAAGTTGACATCCCTATACTGTTATTTCATTCCTCTTTTTTATATCAACAAAACTGAATGCCCATTAAATGTATTTTCTCTATCTCCTTCTAAAAGATGGGACTGTAAGCTGCCATCAAAACCACATCACCACATGTCCTGTTCAGATGCTGCAATTTCAGCGTGTCTCCTCTTATGTTTATAGTTTGTTTTTTTCCGCCTGCAAGTAATACTCTGCACTTATCTACATTCAGTGTCATCTGCCAGATGTTGGCCCAATCTTGAGGTTTTTTTTCTAAATCATTTTGAATTTCCTTTGTGGCTTCTGCACTGTTTGCTGTTCCTCCTATTTTAGTATCATCTGAAAGCTTGACTTGTTTACTAACTCTAGAAGAATACAGAGAGATACAGATCCCTGTGGTGCTCACTCCAGTCTGAACATTCACCCCTTATTGTACGCTTCTGTACTTTAACCAAGTCTCGGCACAAAGAAAATGCCTTGGAATGCCTAATGCCTGAAATTTGAGAATATTCTATGAGAAACTTTATCAAAAGCATTCTGAAAGTTTAAATATACCATGTCACATGCTCTGTTTAATCTATTAATGTTGTTGTTTATCAAAAAAGCAAAACCTACCTTTTCCAGATCCATGTTGACTATTCTCTGGATTCCTGTTGCTATACAGATAATCATATAAACTGTTATAAATGAGAGGAGGTCATTCAGTTAATCTAGCAACTTGTTAGTAACTAATTGATCCAGGACCTGATGTTATTTCTGGTGCTTGTTCATAAAACTCTTAACAACATAAGCCAAACATACCTCTTCTAAATCCAAGTTGTGTATTCCTTAGTCTCTGATTTTCATAAAGTGATCCTCAAAGTTACCTCTAATTGTTTCCATAGCCTTACACGTAGTAGAAATCAGACTTATTGGTTTATAATTGTATATCTCATAGATGGGACCTAGCAATTCTCCAGTTCATGGGTGCTACCCTTGTCTTGAGTGACTGTTATACTGTAAGTCTTACATCGATGGCTTTTGAATAACATCTCCTATTTCCTTGAGTATAATTAGTAGGATTCTATTGGGCGCTTGGGAACTGTTAGTGAGCATTTCTAGTACCAGAAACAAACACTTCTGCCTCTTCAATGCTAATGCTATTTAGTAAAAAACGTTCTCCATTACTGCCTGGGGCATGTTGTTGACTTCTTCCATAGTGAACACCTGCGTAAAATACTGATTCATTACATGAGCCATTTCCCTTTCATAATCTAAAGTTTCCCAAGATCCACTAGTACAGTTGTAATTATCTTTTCCGTAGCCTTGCATATAACAGAAGTTAAACATATGTGTCTGTAATTACTTGGTTCAGTTTTCTTGTCCCATTTTATGGCTGGGTGCTACATTAGCAATGTGCTCGAGTCAGTGGATATTAACCTCATCTGGAGTGAATGTTAAAAAAATGCAATGTATGAACTTAAACGGTATCTTATGTTAAAATTGTAAACAAGTATTTTTAAGTGCACAGTAACATTGCATAGCTCCTCATTTCTATGGCATCAGTAAACCCTGATTACTGCCAGGAATCTGTTGTCTTGAGAAACTCCATGCCTTGTTCTTTGTTTATAGTTTGAAGAGTATGTAAGAGTGTGGAGGAGAATGAACTTATAAGTATAAAAGTTGTGAAGTGCTGTATGTAAAATGTATGTTTTATTATTCAGTGTTTTATTATTTCTCATTGAAGTGCAGTACAAAATACCCTGCATGTTATTATATAATTTTCACTGCTCTGTGTTTCTGTCTCCTGTGTGATTGCCAAATTCATTTCAGCCCGACTTGCTGTTGTTTTGATATTCTTATCACCATTTCCTGAATATAAAAACTGCTTTAAAAAGAAAAACCTCCAGCAATGTGTTCCACCCCACAGGCAGGAACATTACACAATGAGCGTGCGATCAAAGACCAGGAACATTCTGTAATAGTTTGAAAGTGCATCAGTTCGGTGTACAGACAGCATATTAAGCAGTGAAAGTTGGTGACAGGGTCAGATCAAGTGGAGTTTTTGTGGCTTGCCAAATAATAATCACATGAACATTAAAGTCCACAAAATGAAGTATAAATAGTGCATCATACCTGATTTGAGCCACACGTACAGCAGTAGAGACCATGGAAAGTCTTCTGTAGTATTTCTCCTGTGATTAAAAGGGAAAGGCTCAGGACATGCTGGGAACAAATGATGGAAACAAGTGTTACATTAAACTTAGGCCTATTGAAATGCTAAAAGTGAAGAAGCTGTAGCTGCTCTTCACAGTGCATCGCAACATGCCCTGTAGATTAAAACCTGTCCTTGTCAATTTAAATGCAAGTTCCCACTGCTTTAATAAGATAAAAATGTCAAGGGGAATGTGTTGGAGGTTGATTTGCTTTAAAAACTGGTTCTAGATTGTGCTCAATAAAGGTCTAAATAATTTAAACACTCCTTTCAAAGTCTTAAATAAACAATCTATAGTTTGTTCATGGGCTGAAGCTGTCAAATCAGTGGGTGATTTTTAACTTATCTTTTGATCGATATGCTAACTGTTATTTCTGCACAGGAGTCTGACCTGCCTTTTCAGTTCTTTTGCTTAAGGATGTTTCCTTTAGATAAGGATTTTTCAGCTGTAGCTGTAGCAATATTCTTTACTCCATTGTATATTTGGGCTAATTGCTTTACCACTGCATTAAAAACCTTCAAGCCTGGACAGGCATATGTGCTCATAATTAATCGTTGCTTAGGAAGAAGAAGTAATCACTAGGAAGAGAAGTTGAGCCTATATGTCAACCTAATTTATTTTTCCAGGCTCTGCATCCGAAGTTCTTTATAGAAGTTAAGGAACACAACTTCATGACTGTGTTAGTGCTCAGTGTTTTTAAAAACCGACGCCCTGTGTTAAACCACACAGGCCCCCAAAAAATGGGTTTACCTCGGTGAACCCAGAGACTGAAAGTGACACTGAATAATTCTGCTGCTAAACATGCAAGGTCTCATTCAGCTAGGAACACCATGAAACGAATGCCAGGAGCTACAGTTTTCAGCTCCATGTGTAATTACTCTGTGGTGCTGCACTAGCTGTAATTCATTATTTAGTGGCTTTCTTGATCTCCCGTTTTAAGTGAAAGTAATGGGGACGTCAGTGAAGTGAAGTGCACAGAAAAAGATACAATCTTCTGTTTATCTGGGCAAATAAGTGGAAATGGTTTGAAAAAGTGACCTGGGAGGAAAAGTAAAAGTAAGCTTATATCTGGATGGAAAGTTTTTGTGATGGTTTGTTTCTCTTTATTTCTGGGCACCGAGGGTATGCCATTCATCAATCCAAATTAGTGATTCCACATTAAATACTTTGAAGTGATGATTGTTAAGAACAATATTTATTATGTTCTGATGTGCCCTGAGCTTCAGAGACTGGATGCCTTTTAACAGTGCCCACACATTGCACACAATTAGGTATTCCTCAGATGCATAAGATGTTCCTGGCTTGGGCAGTGAAAGAGCATAGCTTCAAGGGGTTGCATTTAGAGAATTCTGTACATCTTAAATACTAGACTCGAGCAGATTTTTGAAAGTACTCATCACCTCAGTAACCATCTTAAATCTCTGTCGTCTTGTTTGGTACAGGGCCAAAGAAGACACAGTTTGTTACTATGGAAACAAAGGAAACCCTGCGCCCATCTTTCTCAAACCAGGTGTGTTTCTGCTGGGATCTTTGACATCTTTCTGCCCCAACACACATTTTCTGTGTGCTTGCATATACATTTGTGTGTCTGTACAGTCTGTTTTCAAGGCCTTTAACCTGATGTAAAGAAAAAAGCAGAACCACGCAGCATTGATGGTGCCTGGATTCAGCACAAGTATTGTTTTCCTTTCATCAATAAAACCTCATTAAATTATCAAGTATAAATGAACACTTAAATCCCAACGATGATTTAATATTGTGTGTATTTTGTCATATGTTATGAAACTTTCAAATCTCCCCATTCACAACTGCATGCACTCCATATTTCTCTCTCCATAGGCAACACTGTTATCAGCCAGGCCTGAGCTCATCGCATTTGTTTACCTTTTCATAGATTTTCATCAATGAAACCAGAAGCCTCTTCAGTTTCAGATGGCCTGGTTTCTGTCAAGAGTAGCTTGGTTTGTGGAGAGAAGCCAAGTACTTTCTAGCAGGGCATTTGTCACCCGTATCATCTTCACTATAGCACCCTAGAGTTAAAAATAACTTTGCCTGAAGTGAAATTTACAACACAATTTGAAATCATATTGGTTACAATAAAAATGAAACGTCCTGGGGGTTAAATGATTAAGAGTAACACTGTAAAAGGAGGCTACCTAATCAAATTCCTTTGCTAGTGCTTGAAAAGGGAGAGATGCTTTGTTGAAATTATTGCAGGAAGCTGGAATAGTGGAACTGGGACAATCTACTGTCACAGATTGTTTTCGGGGACTGCTAATCCCATTTGGAGTGTGAACTGCGATTAGTGAAGCGTGATTGTGTTGTAATGCCTCCTGTAGGTATTTATGGGCTCAGTAACTCCCTCTTGGAAACACCGTGGAAGAAGCTGCAATATGGGAAGAGGATTTTCAGCAGCGTGATCGATCAGAACCTGCCCCCTGAGCGCATGGTACAAGAGCTTCTGCACATCCTGAACAACGAAGAGTCGTGAGTCTGCCAACAGAGATGGCAAAGTTTGTGTTTGTAAGACCATTAGAGCAACCGTGGGGAAGGAGCTCAAAAGTCCAAGACTTCATGATGATGGACACAGAGCGTGAAACTGGGGAACCTTCCATTCAGTGCGTGCACGTGTGTAATTGTGAAAATGACAAATACGCCTTCTCATCAGTAAATTCTCTCTCTTACTGTACTGCTCCTACCCCTTTTCCCACTCGAGTCTGATTCAGTCCCATTAAGAAAGACTCTGTGTTGCTAAATCATTCTGTTTTGCAGACAACTGCCAGACCCAACTCTTAAGAGCCAGGTGGAAGGATATCGCCTCTCAACACTTCCTGCTCTGTCAGCAGTATGTGTTCGATCTCCAAATTATGGCACAAGGTCAGGTGGGACGTCTGAGTAAATGTTTTATCTTTGTCTAGATTCTCAGGAGTGTTAATAGCGTAATACGTCTCTTTAAGTATTAAACAGACTCTTTAAGTGCTTTGTTTTTCGATACATTGTTGTTCCACCTAATCCAGTTTACATCAATGTGTATTCTGTCATCCTGCGAAATGGGAAAAATTAAGATCAGATCTGCACAGCCATGCAGGTTAAAATGCACAGTGCGTGGATGTTTTTTTTGACTGGTTTTCCTTTCCTCTGTTTTGCAGGACTAACACCGTGATCCTCATTGACTCAAATGGGAATGTCACTTTTACAGAGCGCACCATGCTCAACTCGGACATCAGCCAGTGGAAAACAAGTTCTTTCAATTTTAAACTCCTTGACTGAGGGAGGATGGGAGGCTGCATGTTGAGTTTAGGCTGTGGAGGAGATAATCTGTGCCTTTCTGAGCTACAGCGCAGGCCACAGGCTTGGGAAAACATGCTATATCTTTTTTAAACGGCATCCTACTCAATCCACTCATTAAAAATTAATATCTGTACATGGAAGATGTTTATTTTTTCTTTATAAGACTTTAATGTTAAGATGCTGTAGTGCAGGAAAGAGGTTTCACTACCCTGAGTGTTGTCCTTTTTCACAGCTGGTTTTGGTGTAAACTGGAGGTTGCTCAGTTAAGCCAAGATATGAGTGAAAGCTGGAATGAGCAGCATCCGTAAACTATCAAGAGTAATACAGGAAGTGGTCCCAATGTGCACTTCCTGTCTTTCACATTGGGCTTCAGGTTAGGCTGAAAGCAGGTGCATAATTAATTTCCTCAACATATAAACCTTTATTCCAGGTTACCTCTCAGGAAGATTTATTATTTAGGGCCCTGCAAGTGTTAGTAAGCCAAATATGAATGGAAAATGATAAAGGTAATTATTTATATTGTGAACTAATTAGGAATTGTGCTCTACAATGCAGTATGTTTGGGTTCATTGAGGAGTGACTTTTTTCATTTAAATAACAAAGCTAATTGCTTTATGGCATTCGAACTGCCAGCTGCCTCCTGCTCCCCATTCTTCAGCTCTTCAGGACCCAGAGTGGTTTGTGTACAAATTCTTATCTTGAGGCAAGTTTGTTCTAATTCAAGACTTACTTGGAGTGGCACTGATTACTTTTTTGTTGCAAAAGCGGAGTTCTAACAGTGTGTTTTGAGGACTGAAGAACAAGAGGCCAGAACCCATAAAGCAATACAGTTACAGCAAAGTTCTGTAGCCGCCTGTGTGACTTACTAGTGTCTCCATGCTCAGGTTTCGGAAGTAAGGCCTGTGGAGACCTAAATATACTTGTGTTACTTCATTACAACTGAAGTGCTTTCTTTTCTCTGTGAATCACAATGCATGTAGTATGTGACTAGAACATACTGTACATGAATCCGTTTGTGTTGTTAACGTGTACACCACGAGTTAGCACTTCTCTGTTTGGAAGTATCCTCTGGAACACACTGATGATGCTTGTCTTTCAGGTCCCTTTTCCTTCATAATATCATTCTGGACACCTGATGTAAGGCTACACAAGCCGACAGGACCTGCCCAAATATCCTAGATAAAATTGGATGCAGAATTAGACAATTCCTCACGAATCTATGGCCCTACTGTATTTCAACTTGCTTTTCATTAGAAAATGAGAAAGCAGCTATTTGCCCAGGTATCCCTGCAGAGCATCTTGCAACATCAGGGCAGGATCTGTCTTCTGCACTTAAAGAAGCAAGGGATAATAGCAATTCTGTGTTCCACCATTGTCCCTTGTGTTTCTGGAGTGTCTTTTTACCACTGTGATATCGTAAAAACAAAACGCCCCCGGTGCTGCATGGTTCCAGGTGGTGTTTTTTTGTTTGTCATGCACATGCTGAGGAAGCATGGGTCAGAAACAGGGTGGCGAGGCATCAAGGAGGCCCTTGCCTGGACCAGACCTGGACCAGACCTGGACCAGACCTGGACCAGACCTGGACCAGACCTGGACCCGCTCTCCACCTTAGTTTTGTGAATCCAAATCCCTGGGATCCCCTCCCAAAGCCTTCATGTTTTACATCGGTCTGATTCTGCCCAGCAGTCTTCTCATAGGCTCAGAAATTGTCATCTTCATTTATGTCAACCACTTAACAAAGTGGCCATATTAAATGTTTCACGCTCATTGTTCAACCTTGCACAGCAGCAAGGATTATTATTTTCAGGTGTCATACAGTAGGGGAGAGACTAATTAATCATCATCATTGTTCAGTTTCCAAGTTTTTTTTTTTCACTCCCTGAAGCTGAAGGTTACTGTCCTCTCCTTAGTAGTTTAGTTGGTTAGTTTTGTTCAGAGGGGGAGTTCAAAGTTCCTTCCTCCTCTTTGTGTCCAGGAGGCCATGTATTGTGACAGACCCTGATGATTTATGTAGCTACAGCTGACATGTGCAAGATGTCCCATTCAGGACCTTTCCCTCCATTTCTTGGTTTTTAACTAGATGTTTTCCCAATGCTGTTATCTGTGCATTGAGAATGTAGTTGTAGGCTTTCGTTTAATAGTGCATGGGGAAAAAAAGACATGTATTAACCAGTATGGCTTAACTTTGAATGTTTCACCCACTAACCTCAAAATTAATGTTTTTTTAATATGCATTACATCTTTAAATTAATGGCTGCACCCTGAAATCGCATTAGCAATAATTGCTACTCTGCAGTCCTTGGTAAAATCATACCCTGAGCGCTGTTATTATAGAGAGGGCTGAAGGGCAGGGTTATTGATGTCCAGACCCAAGTAAAACTGCACTGCAATCCATGCCATTAAAAGAAGCACAAAACGTCAGTCTTTATGTGTTTTGAATAGTGTGTAATTCTGATTCAGAGCCAGGATGCTCTGGTCATCATGGAATTTCCTTGCTGGCTTTTAATACCACAATCGTAAAGTGCTATAAATACAAGCATCTGTGCTGGGTTTGTAGTGTCTGCACTCATTGTAAAAGCTGAGGAGACAGTTGTCTGTCCTTGTTCTATAAAGATGTTTGGTTTTCTTTGCTGATGTAAGCTCTGCGTAATTACCTTGTGCACTTACATAGCGTGTGTCCTCCTTTGGGAAACAGTGATATTCTAGGCAGAGGTTTTAGCTCTGTTGTGAAAGTGCTGCTCTAGACTCTTTTAAAGTTATAGTTCATTAATTATGAACCCTGACCATGGCTATATTCCATCATCCCAAAAGGCAGAGGTGAATATTTTTTTTGTTTGCTTCCAGTCTACTGTTCATTAGTGCACTGAAACCAAAAACTAATGGAATAGTCTTTTTGATTTAACTCTTGTGTCTGTCACCCACAGTCACCTCATGTGTTCTGATAGACTCCTTGCGTGAGTTTGAGACAGGGCGGTGATGCTGCAAGTAAAATTGTGAAAGTACAGTGGTGTAAACTCACAAGTCAGTAGATATGAGAGTGCTGGGTTATCAATTGCCCTAGCTGAATTTAGAGCAAGGGTAAAATACTCCAATTAAGCAACTTGAATTACTTCAATTAACTAATTGAGCTAGTATGTGGGCCTCCAGGTCTAGAATTGGGACCCTTGCAGTAAACAAAATCAAAATGTGAGCTTCTGGACGTTGCTTTGCTCAGTTCTTCCAAGTCCACTCCAAATATCGACCATTTTTGTTCTTTTATCTTGCCTTTCGGTACAGAACATTCTCAGGGCACTTTACATTCATCCAATAATAAAAGTACAATAAACAGAATATTCTGTAAAACCAGATATGATTGAGAGAGAAAAAAAAAGAAATGAACTGATAATTAAAGGCTATCAAGAAATAATATAAACCTATAAATCGGTAGCAATGTCATGATAGTGGATAGAATATGATGTCCAGATGACTGAAACCTGTGGGATGATTGTGTATTCCTAATAAGTTGCATCAATAGTCTTTTGCAAATGCTATACATATATACAATATATTGTATATTCTGTTTGTTTAAGCCATAAGTCACCTGGAATGAAGAGATCTACACAATTCTGTATTATCACAGTTGTAGATAATGTTGGCAACTGAAATAGACTTCAGCGCTGTGAAAAGGCTTGAATATAACCACCAAGGCCACAGTGTGTTCGTGCTGTATAAGTAATATAACATTTCTGTGCAGAATTTGATACTGAAAGAATGTATTCAGATTATAAGGGACAAATATCAATAGTGCCATTGTCTGACTGCAGTACTTCCCTTGGTATTATTGTCTTTTTAATGTGCTTGATATATGGTGATTAATATTAAAAATATTGAATAATATTTTAAATAAAGTAATGAATATTAGACATCTCACTGGCTTCTCATATGTGCTGAAGAATGCATATGCAGAATAATTTTATTTCCTTTGGAGATTTTCTCTGTTCTTAATGAGTGCCAGGGACTTTGAGAAATCTGAGTAACTGCGATGTAGCTTCTCTGTAACGTGTAGAAAGAACATGTTATAACCTTGAAACTTCATACTCGTTATGTCTGGTGCATTGGCACTGCGCTTTACTGTACTGCCCTCTTGTGTTGGTATTTATTAATACTTCAGTGAATTTTATCGAATGTAAAAACAGGCTTCCTGTTATTTTACAACAAAGGGGTGTCATTTCCCCAGAAAGTGTTTTGTTATAACATGGATCCCCCAGTCTATGTGTTTTTAAACAACTGCTTATAGCATCGCTCCTCTCTTTCTGACACCCTAAGGTGTACATAAAAATCTCCTTAGCTAAAATTGACATTTGTCCTGTTATATTGAATGAGTAAGGTTAAACACAGCAATGCCATCGGTGTGAAAATTCAAAGTACTCAAATATGCTTGTAGTGAAGAAGTACTTTGAAGTCCTTTTTTTAAAGACCTGTGTGTCGAGGCTGGTCGCTGTGGGTGGTGTGAAGCAGGCAGCACCAGTGATCTGGAGGATAGTATTACTGCCTCGTTGGCTGTTGCCTCCTGGGTTCAGGTCCTTCTGTGGGGAGTTTGCCTGTGCTCCCTGTAGCAACGCGGACTTTGCCAGAGTGCTCCTACACCCCCCCCAGTCCAAAACTCTGCTGTCTAGCTTCATTGGTACCTGAAGAAGTGTCCACTGTTGACACACTAGTGTTATATTGCAACCGTTGATCGTTTTTACAAGTACAGGTTTGACACGTTTGATACGAACACGTCTGTAGCAATTATCTTAGTGGTTAAATTTTTTTGTACAGAATAAATTGCGGTATGCTAGTGTCTTTTTTTTAATGCAAGATTTAGCCTATTACTTGAGAAATAAACACATGGGACCACATCGTGTTAAACTATTTTGGTGTATCTAAATCACAATTTGTGTAACTTTGGTAACTTGCATTTGTATTCATAAATCTCCACAATTTAAAGATGTAGTAGTTGGGATGCACCATATACATATTTATTCCAACTGGAAAGCACAATGATAATAAAGGATGCGATATTATACAGTGATATGTCTTGTTTTTCTTATGAAGCAAAGCACTCACTTTTATGAATAAGGTGAATTCGGCTGTGCCCTTTGTAAACACACTGGTAAGAGTTGCTGACCTAACCGCATAAGTTAGTTGTTACATCACTGTATTTTTATTAGTGCACAATTTAATGTAACGGTAAAACGAAGCAGAGTCTACGTAAAACAATACATTTTGTTTACACCTCCAAAGGTCATTATTATATTTTATAAATCGTAAAACAGATGGCAAAACCTAGATCAGAAATAACTCAAACCCAGACCAGATGCTACTACTATATCCCTTTTATACCAAGTGCCCATCACCAACTTAATGGAATACCCACCCCAGTCGTCTTATTGGGGGTTCAGCAAATATCTAAGTATTTCAGGTGGGTAGCTGCGTCAGCTGCGTAGCTCCACGGCCGAACCGTTGTGTTCTCTTTCTTCTTTTTTTCAGCATGGAATAAACCTATTACTTGTTCCTTTGCTATCTAATTATTTGATTGGCCCTTTTCTTTATGCAGAGTCGCGTACGCCTCATTCTCACCTCCGATTGGCTAGTCTCTGCAGGCCTTTGCGACCATTGGTCACTGCGCCATCAATCGGCGACGAGCCGGTAAGGGGGGAGGAGCTTCAGCAGCCACTGGTGTTCTTTCAAAGATGGCGGCGGTGGTGAGCAAGATGGAAGATAATTTTCTTGACAATTTAAACTAATTTCAAGCGTGTAAAACGAAATTTATTACTTACAAGGTAAGTAATTGGACGCTGTGGGGAGACTAAAATGATTATCGATTTATTTCGGTTTTTAAAATACCGGAAGAGTTACTGGGGGGGGGGAGTCTTTTTTTGTGGAGTGGAGCACCAAAAAAAAAATTAAATGAACGAGCTTCATATATGTTTCAAAATTCAGGGTGATTAAGTTAACTCAGGATGTGATAGACATTTAGAATTTATTTTTTAATGTAGAAAATTGTGCCTTTGTTGTAATAAGATATTTCCGAAAACCCACACCTAGCAGTATTTGTTTAACCTAAATAAAACAATAAAAAATAATAAAACCTGATAGATTTCCACCCGACACGGAGTTTTATTATTTTTCATCGTATGAATGTGAAGGCTTAAAAAAACTGTTTTCTACGGGCAAGAAGACACCCAAAAAACCATCTGTTCTGTAAGTGTAAGGATATTACAGTTACATTTGCAAAGCGTGACACTGATAGGCGTTACAGGCCCCATTCAGTTGGCTCAGTTACGTATGGAGATATATGCACTTCTTTTGGTGACATTTTAGCATATAGTTTCTAAGCATAATCTGTATCAAGCACAATCGGCAGAAGAAATCCCGATATTATCAAATAAATCGCGTTCGGCAGCGACTGTTACTGCTGTATGAATGAGAACGTGTCTTTGTATCCTTTTAATTTACGAGAAATTTAAATGTCTCCTTTTAAATCGCGTTATTCTGTTTTCATGTAGATAAGTTCGGAAACGGACCAGACGCCGAATTCTGGTCCGTGGGGTCGTACGGTACTATCAAAAGAGATCGGAAGTAGATTGATCATCTTTAAAATGTTGAAATGAGATTATTGGGGTGTCGTTAATCAGACTTCAGTCCCTTTCTAGCTAGTTGTTCAGTGTGAATAAAGGATGAAAAGGGTGTTATAAACTACAAGAAGGACTGTTTCTCCCAGTGTGTAGGTTGTGCAAATAGTACTTTAAAAGTCATTAGTCCAGCAATTTAATTTTTTAACACAATTTGAGTTCTTATACGTACATTTTTAAAAAGTAGTTTTTGGACACCTCTTGAAATACAAATTGGAAGGTTACTTCCGATATTACTTGCTCAAATATCGGTTACAATAAATAACAACTCAGTTATTGTATAAAAACATTTACTGGATAATATCTTTCATTATTTTCCACGTGGGTGCTCAGTGCAATAAAATAGATATCTATAGTGAATATAAAACATGAAAATACAAGTTAAAGATAATATGCAGTGACCGTATAGGCAAAAGGTAGGGGTCAATAGAAGCAGATAACAGCTGCCCTACAAATCATACAAATCATGGTTGACCTTATTTGGTAAACAGCCTTTAAGTGCCTTAAAATATTTAATCTTTTTTCTTTATTAGTTATGAAAAACTATAATTGAACTATCTAGCTGATGCCTTTCAAATATGAGGCAGTCTTCAAATATTCTGTTTAAGATGGAGGATATCATAGAGAAATACCCGAATGCTAAAAACACTGTCAAAATAAGAAGACACCTGCCCGCTGAGCTCTTTTTCTTTTGTTTTTCCTCCCTAGTTGGGACTTTCCGCTGAAGACTTGACCATGGAAGACGAACAGTGCCTAGCTATGGGCAACATTTAAGCTGAGTGCATTGTGATTTCCAATAATTGAGACAGTGATTCTAAAAAGCTGTCTACATTAATGAAAAGAACAATGTAGTCAGCTTAACATAATCAACAATTACATGACCAAAAGAGAGTGTGTTTTAGAGTAACGAGGAATGTTTCTCCACACGTCTTTAAGTAGTCGAAAACCTCCATTAAAGGGGAAAGAAATAATCATTTTTTAATAATTCAGTTGTATACATTTCCTCCTTCTCTGTATTTTTAGAATAGCATTATTCATTGTTGAAATGGAGACTGATGAAATTCTGCCGCCCCTCCCACAAGGGCCACCTGATGCTTTGAGCTTGGACAGCCTTAATAGTCCCCCACCGTTGCCGCCAAGCACACAGCCTCCACCACCTCCCCTGCAAACGTCCAGTGACGCAGAGGAAATGGACGTTAGCTCAGGTGGTGATGGACAGACAGACGCCCCAGCAGGGGACACTGAAACGACTGGCGCAGAACAGCTCCTCGCGAAGGGATCTGCTTCCTTCACCAGCCGTCTCGCAGACGAGCCAGATTCGAGCCCCCTGAACCCGAGAACCGCTCGGCACGCGCCGCCCGTCACCAAGTTCTTGCCCGACTTGAAGCTACTGAAAGACGTCAAGATTAGCGTGAGCTTTACAGAGAGCAGCAGGAGCAAAGACAGGAAGGTATTGTACACTGGGAAGGGTCAGGAGGTGCAGGCGGACACCCAGCTTAGCAGTGATGGCGTAAACGGCGAGCTGCATGATGCCGATCTGGGGTTAGCTGATGGGCAGGGTCAGGGTGATGCCACTGTAGATGCAGGGAGGAAGGGTGAGGACGTGGAGGCTGACTTGGAGAAGAAAGTAGAATTTGCGGTTCTGGATGAACTCGAGGATTTCACTGAGAATTTTATGGAGACTGGAGACGGAGACCAAGGAGGTTTCCAGTCTGAGGTGATTGTTCAGCAGGAGCAAGCAGATGAGGAAACCCTGAATTATTCCTATGAGGTAAGTTGGCATTTTTTTAATGGTTCGGCTTGCTGCTGTGGAACACATGGTCCTTCCACTACATTGTACACCGTGACCTTATGTAGTTTTCACATGCCTTCATCGGTTGTGGATCACTTTGTTACGTTTTTTTATATGTATAGTTTATCAAATCTTTTTTAAATTGGATATTTTTTTATTAGAGGTTAAAAATAATATTTTTTCTCCAAGATGTGGCTGGTTGTTTTAGACTGTATCGCATCTGGTGGGATCTGTATCCAGATCTTTGCTGCAGTCTTGACCAGCTCCAGACTTGACATTGCAGCATGGCATTGTCTCAGGTGATTGCATGGCTCCTGTTGTGCAAAGTGCCTCTCTGGTATCAATAGCAAAGGTTGGGATAAATGGGCTGTGCCTGTGGCTGGAAGATTGACAGGCTAGGAGCAGCTTTCTCTTTCTCTGACCGTGTTTTCCAGGAGGATTTTGATAATGATGTGGATGCGTTGCTGGAGGAGGGCCTGCCTGTGCCAAAAAAGAAGATGAGGCTGACTGAGGACAAGTATGGCGGAGACAGTGACCATCAGTCGGATGGAGAGACCAGCGTCCAGCCCATGATGACCAAAATTAAAACTGTGCTAAAGAGTGAGCTTTCATTCTTTTCCTTTTTTTTTGCTGACACACTTGTTTTGGTCTTTGTCTTTTTTACTCCTGTTACTGTTTTTTTTCACTTGAAGAGCAGTATTTAACGGCTTATGTTATTACATAGTGTGGAACCATTGAGAACATTTTTCTGTTCCTCAAATGGAATTAATTCAGTTTGTGTTCATTTAAGTCCATAGTTGTTCAGTGTGAAGCTTTGGGCAGTCCTCTGACTTGTTGATTTAAGCTGTTTTGTGAGTGTGCCGTATGGAATTCTGATGACGGCTCTTGCTCGCCCTTGTTGTCTAGTGCTCACCCTTGTGACCAGTGTTTGACTTGCAGTAACCGAAGGCCTGTTTGTGCTTGTAGGTCGAGGTCGTCCACCTACAGAGCCACTGCCTGATGGATGGATCATGACATTCCATAACTCTGGCATTCCAGTCTACCTTCACAGGGAAACCAGAGTAGTTACCTGGTCAAGACCTTACTTCTTAGGAACAGGGAGCATTAGGGTATGAGACTTCTTATGTGTCCAGTGGTTTTTTATGGCTTCGATCTGTGTGCGTGAAGGGCTAAGGTAATCCTGAGTTGTGCACTTTAGCAGTCTTAAAGCGTTTAGAAGAAATGTTGGCCCAAGGAAAGCAGATGAAAAGCCAGGGTTGTGCAGTATAACAAGACAACAACTCCGAGAAGCTGCCACTGAGGTGTATTAGTATAATTCTAGACGTATCATTGGCATACTTAAGAAAGCCGCTTCACACGCTGTGTTTATAGCGCAGATGATAGCAGATTACAGTGCTCTGAACTGTGGCTTTTTTTCATATAAAGATATCCATAAAGTATTTATGTGCCATGAGAACCGAAACCTGGCTAAGTTTTGGCTCACCTGTCCCCTGAACCTGTCACAGAAACACGATGCTCCGACCAGCAGCATTCCCTGCCTGCACTACAAAAAAATGAAGGAGCAAGAGGAAAGGGAACAAAACGGAGAGGTGACGCCGAACCCCGGGAACTCCCCGGTGAAAACTGGGGAGGGGGTCCCCGACGCGGAGCGGGTGGACGAGCCGGACTCCACGGCCCCGGAGGAGTCGGCCGCCGGCGCCTCAGGGGTCCCGGGGGAAGAGGCAGTTCCTGCTGGAGGGGTCTCGGAGGACAAGGATCCCCATACCATTGACACCGCACAGGGAGCCCTGGGACAGGTCAAGGCAAAGGTGGAGGTGTGCAAAGACGAATCCATAGGTAAGGGGGCAGGAGACAGGAAGGGTTGGTAATATGTCTCTTTTTCATGTACGGGAAGTGCCTGCAGGGGTAGGTGTTTTTTTTTTTTTTTTTTTTTACAGTTTTCTTTCAGTGCAACCATGCTTGCTTTTTATCAGTAATGCATCTATCCAGAAAGCTGCTTCTACCTTGTAAGGGTTGTGGCAAGCTGGAGCAAGGTGGGACTGCACCCTGGACACACAAACGTATGAACACAGGGCCAATTGTTTAGAGACAGCGGGTAGCCTAGCCAGCATGTCTTGGGAAGATGAGAGAAACAGCCCCGTGTGAACTTGGAAATGAACTGTGTGTATATATTAATAACATTCTCATCTGAAGTTCCTGCTGCATCCTTTTTTTTCAGACATGGGGGAATAGTGTTTTCCTGGGCAGTACACATTTCGGTAGCTTTCACACTGTTGTGCTGTGTTGGCACATGAGCTGTAAAGGAACAAGGAGAAATTAATTCCAGCTGAAATCTATTTATTTTTCCTTCTCATTGGGGAATTGCTCTCTACTTCACTGAATAGATTTCACTTGAATGTAATATTTAGGTGTTTTTTGGATTTATTTTTAAGATGAAAGTGGGTGTGTCAATTAAACTGCAAGTCATAAAGAGGATTTTTTATTTGTGTTATTGGTTTACTCCTTATAATTAAGACTTAGTGATAATTAATCATTAATGGCATATGAATGGTGCCTAGGAAATGGTAAGATTTCTACATGTCTCCCTTTGTAAACTGTTAAGTAGATTGAGCTGAAGTAAAGCAGATTGTGTAAGAACAGCCCATCCTAATGTCCATGCAGAGATAAGAAGAATGATTTTATTTCTGTTTTCATTTGGTGGCAGACATTGAGGAGTTTCGGAGTTACTTGGAAAAGTGTTTTGATTTTGAGCAAGTCACTGTGAAGAAGTTTCGGACCTGGGCGGAGAGGAGGCAGTTCAACAGAGAGATGAAGAGGAAGCAGGCTGAGGCAGAAAGGCCCATCCTGCCGGCTAATCAGAAGCTCATCACTTTGTCTGTACAAGACGCCCCTACAAAGAAAGGTACACGAAGATTTCAGCGGCAGCTCTTTCCTTACAAAAGGACTAAAGGGCTTGATTGGAATGTTAGATTTCTGTATTTCTTGCTCTTTTTAAGCACTTTCTTCTTTCCTGTTCAGAGTTTGTCATAAATCCAAACGGGAAATCGGAGGTGTGCATTCTACATGAGTACATGCAGCGGGTCCTCAAGGTTCGACCAGTTTATAATTTTTTTGAATGTGGTGAGTAGTATTTTAGTATTTCTTTGCTATAATCACATTTTTTAATCTGCATGTATCCAATCCAGCTGTCCAGCTTCAGTAACCACTCCTTAGGGGGTTGCAACCTGATCCAGCATCCTGGTTGGATTTCATTCATTCACTTTTATTCACTCACACACACGCAAGGTCCATTTAGAGACACTGTTCAACCTGAACGGTACGTCTCTGGATGGTGGGATACCAGGATACTCCCGCTGGAAATCCGTGCGGGCAAGGGTAGAAAATCTCAAACACAACACAGAACACGCCCAATTCAGATTTCAGCCCAAGACCTGTGGGGCAGTAAAGCTAACTGCCGGGTCTCCATGCCTTCTTATCTCTTACAAATCAAAAAACACATGGACTTCCAACCTGATAGTATCTCCCTTAATATATAGTCTGCAGAAAATAACACGGAACCAGATTGTGTGGGTGCCCTGGGGGGGGTAAAGCATTTTTTTCTTTTGTTCAAGGATGTAAGAGTTTGAAAGCTGTTTCTGTTTCCAGAAAACCCAAGTGAGCCCTTTGGAGCCTCAGTCATTATAGATGGAGTAACATATGGCACAGGAACTGCAAGCAGTAAGAAACTTGCCAAGAATAAAGCTGGTAATTGCTTTTACATATATTTTTTTTTAAAAGTCTAATGGCAGCTTTTGCATATTTATTGTGTAGCTTGCAAATTGTTCCCATTTGGAGTACAATTTACAAACACAGGGAAAAGTACCACACACTCTTATGCTTTTTTAATAAGAAGCCATGAAAGCACCATTGTTTCACCTCCTATTTGGTGCAATTAAAGTGGTCTACCATTTTATAAAACACAATTACAAGTGCAGTTTAAAATTAAAAATACAAGATCCTATTCATGTAACGCTTGGCAAAAATTTAAAATTGTGCATGGTTTTTCCCAGCTCGAGCAACACTGGAAATCCTTATTCCTGATTTTGTGAAACAGACATCTGACGAAAAGCCCAAAGATAGCGATGAATTGGAGGTGAGTCTCAATTTGAAAAGAAAGGTCTCGCTGGTATTTCCAGTGACAACATACAGTATTAATCTGCCTAGCTGTGTTGCCAAAGCCAGTTTCCTAGAGATCTGTGGATCAATAACCTACTGGGAACCAACCAAGAAAACAAGCAGATTTGCCTCTTGTTTATAATCTTGTTTAGGCAAGGCATGTATGTAGTTGTACTTAATAGCCATTTTATCTTTTTTTTTCAAACTCAATTTGCAGTATCTATATCTATGCTTGGTATTACTCTGAAAGCCTTACAATATAACTGGGACCTTCAGATCTCTTGCTAAAAGATGTGGCTGTTTTGCAATTATAATGTTTTCTTCTGTTTTGTGTTATTTGCCTCCTAGTATTTTAACCATATCAGTATTGAAGACTCGCGGGTATATGAATTGACCAATAAAGCAGGATTGCTGTCACCATATCAGATTCTTCATGAGTGCCTTAAGAGGTAAGGGACTTTTTTTCAGAGAATTAATTTAAGAAGGGCACAGATTCCAACAAGTTATTTAAGTCGCTTTTGCAATGACTATCAGGGATTTTGAAGTCACACGAAGCAATGGAATAAGGGACAACAAAAATATGCGCACGTACATTAATGCACACATAATGGTTTTGAAACAACTTCCTGCCCTTTCTCCAAACATTCATCTCAACTTCACTTCACAACTCACAGGGAGGGGCATATATGCAGAACAAGAAAAGCGTTACAGAATGGCAAGGACCTGCTGTAGTCTGTGAGACAAAATCGTGCAGAAATGATCACTATCGGCAGATAATCGAAACTCGAGTGTCGAGAAGGGAAGGTGTTCTTCAGTGAAGAGACACTGGGGAGTCTAATAAAAGAGGCGGGATGTATATTACAAATGTCTTTGAGACTGTATTTTTGGAGATTTCTAATGGCAGACACATGGTCATTGCAGTTCTTTGATAGGACAATCTACCACTACACTGCAAGTATAAAATGTAATTTTTTTTCTTTTTAGAAACCATGGAATGGGTGACACCAGCATAAAATTTGAGGTGATTCCTGGTAAAAACCAGAAGAGCGAATATGTGATGACTTGTGGGAAACACACTGTACGAGGATGGTGTAAGTACAGAGCTTTAAAGCCTGTCAGTTGTATTCATAAGACTTACATGATACATTCATTTACCTCCTGTTTATTTAAATAGAAAAGGTTGACTTTCTCAGCATTACAAACTAAAAGTACAAAACAATAAAGTGTCTTTTAGTAATGCTTAGATTACATCCTGAAAGATTTGTGTGATTTTCTCTTAAGGAAAATAGGTTTTGGTTTAGCACAATGGTTGAAATTGTATAAATATAGCAGTTTGTCTATAATATATTTACTGTAAGCAGGGTAATGTTTTAACAATCTGCATTCCAGAATCTTTTGTTTTAGAGCATTGGTAATGCAGTATGTAGTCTGATTGACCTTTTAAAGGGACCTGTTTATGATCCCACACACTGTGATTTCTTTTCATTAAAAGGATGTGTACTGCCTCATTGTTACACGTGTTCAGTAATCATAGCTTATTTTGTCAAATGAAACGTGTTTCAAACAACATGTTAAATGGAGTCCTGTTTAAGCCTGCCACAACAATGTTAAGATTATAAGTTGGAGAATAGGATCTAGTGAAAAACTTAAGAGGTTATGCACGTCTTAATTTTTTGGGTTGTAGGTAAAAATAAGCGAGTGGGGAAGCAGCTTGCCTCACAGAAAATCTTGCAGCTTCTTCATCCACACGTCAGAAACTGGGGGTCACTTCTCCGCATGTATGGGAGGGAGAGCAATAAGATGGTGAAAAAGGTACGTTTTTGTGAAACCCGAGATGTGAAAATCCCAAAAAGAAGGCTACAGAGGTTCAGAATTCAATGATTATGGATGCTTGTTTCTGTTCTTTCATTACAGCAGACACTAAAACAAGCCAGGGATGATAGGAAGGTAGCAGGTCTAGATGTCATTTCTATGCTCATTCCCCCTATGTTCACACACAGATTTCTTACCTACAGTAGGCATAGGGTGTTTGCAAGTGCTTATCCAGACACTCAAAGCGCTGTGCAGGAGCACACTCATAGTACATGTAACAGAAGTTGTAAGAGAAAATAAAACAACAAACTGCCCCAGTAAAAAAACATACTAAGTTAGTATGTAACATAAAGATTCATACTAAGTTATACATTAAAGAGAGAGAGATTTAATAATGTTGGCAGTCTTGGGGTCTCTCGTGAACGTGGCCAGTGAGTTGCACGGTTCACAACTGAATTCACCAAATTCTTTCCAAAGGTTGTGATGTGTTGACTACTTGTAGGTGGTTGAGGAGCTATCTGGTCCTGTAAGCATGCCTTCCGTCGGTGGTCAGAAAGAGCTGTCTGAAATGTTTGTAGGAGAACTAATATTAAGGTGTGGCCACGCTTATGGCTGCCCAGCTTCCGTACATCCACACCAGTACTCTGCTAGCCAATGATGAAGACGTGTGTAAATGGGCAGCCATATTGTCAAGATGACAGCTGGCAATGTACATCAACGCTGTCATTCTTATATAGCCTTTTCTAGTTTTTGAGGGAGGCTATATCATTGAAATCCCTTGATTTCTGGGTTTAAGTAAACCATGAATGGTCAAGGGGAGCGTATTCTTATTGAAACTGATTCCTGTGCTTAATTACTTCAGTGAAAAGGAAGAGTAAGACGGGAGAGCTCAGTTTGCAAGACATAGAGCTGCCAGTAACTGGGCTAGGACGAAGTAAATGTGTAGAATCCTGAGTAATACCTTGAATGGTTTTATGTGTCCATGATGGTGTTGTTTTGCACCCTCGTTGATCTGTCTCAATTGTTTTGGCAGGAAAACTCAGACAAGAGTGTGATAGAACTTCAGCAGTATGCCAAAAAGAACAAGCCAAACCTTCATATCCTGAACAAACTGCAGGAAGAGATGAAGAAACTGGCAAAAGAGAGGGTGAGCTTTCCAGTCAGGGTGACACCCATAAAAAGACTGATTTGTAGCTGCTATTGTCTTAATTTGCATGGTTTTGGTTATCACCCCTGTTCCTGGAGCACCCAAACTCTAGCAGTTCTTATAGGTAACCAATTTCTAAAAGACTTTGAATAATTGAGTTATAATCAGTCAAGCAGCTGACTTGCTAAACTAGGAAATTTATAGCTCTTTAGGCACTATGCTCTTGAGTATTCATTAGTCTTCAGGAGAGCTCTTAATTTAAACAGTATTTGCTGTATTACTTTCCAATCTTCAGAAACAGGTAAGCTATAATATGAACTAAATTGGGGCTGGGCTGTTTAGTTTATTGAATATTTAAATGAATTAAGTTGCTTGAAGACTTTTCAATGTTTTGTTTCTGCTGCTCAAAACTTGATGATCTTAATGTACATATGAAATGCAGCTGTTAAAGGGTAATCTCCAACGTGTTTAGGAACTGAATATAATTGTAGAGTTCAGATTGTGGGCAGGGCACTAGAATGCAACTACATACCAGAGCTTAGCTGGAGAAAAAAAATCAACAGGTGTGTGGAAGCTTTGGGTTGGGACTGGAAACTGTTTATCTGGAGTAATCAGGAAGCACTCGTGAAACTTGGGTTTGTGGCACACACTATTACGTTTTTGTAGCATGTGGTTCTCATTCACAAAACAAGTGTTTAATTTAAATCTTTATATTGCAGGAAGAAACCAGGAAGAAGCCAAAAATGACCATAATGGAATCAGCCCAGCCTGGCAGTGAGCCCTTGTGTACTGTTGATGTGTAGTAAACTGTAACCAACCAACCAATCAAAATGGCACTGACCAATGGTATCCATCATTACCATCGGAGCACATGTCCACACCCACCTGCTTGGATTATACATTATGCAGAGTGAAATGGCAATAGAACTTAAATTTAAGGATACCTCTGTTACTGAAGTACTGTTAAAGTGATTGAAATATTTTATTTTGGCACATTTTACATTTAATGGAAATTATAACAGGATAAGCTTGCTAGTGGAAGTACAGGTATAGTTTGAACTGCATTCATCTCTACTCATATTTTACCTAAAGCACTTTTTTCTCTCTCTCATCTGATGAACCACATACAGTTACTGATTACCTGTAATTCAATACAAATTACTGGTACCTGTACCTCAGTGGGGTTGTAAAGTTTTGAATTCACAGAAATATGCAGTTATTTGAACTGTGGAGGGAAAGGAATTGATTCTTGGCTGGAATTGTTTACTGTCATATGACAAAAGCTCTTTTGCAAATGTGCTGACCAGTTTGGGAAAACCTACATTTCTTAACACAGTGGTTACTAGTGGTTTCTTTTAATGTGAACCTTGACAAGATTGTATTTATAATTACCAGTGAGTTCCTTTCAGCTGAAAGCCAATACACCAAATTGATTACTTTTACTTAAGAAAAACTGTTTAACAATTTCAGAAACTGACTCAAGTCTTTTCACTGGGAATCTACATTTACTTTTTTTATCACAATTGTAGCTCAGTACTGGATGTAGCTACAGCTGTAGCTGGATGTAGCTACAGCTGTAGCTGGATGTAGCTACAGCTGTAGCTGGATGTAGCTCTGTGTTTGTGGCAGAAATTGGACAACAACTCTATAACTGCTTCATAGGGAAGTGCCTATGCCCATTGCAAAGCAGTTTAACTCCATTTCAGGTTTGGTGAGCTGCAAGCGTCTGTAAACCAGCACAAAGAGCTTAGTATTTAAAGAAGTCTACGTAGTGTAGATCAAAATGCTATGCATTCTTTGCATTTTAAGGAAATCTACATAGGGCAGATCAAAATGCTACATGGTAGAAGTCTTTTTTATTAATGTTTTTTGTATGTTTTAGGTGATGTGTAATCCGTAGAGCACACCTTAAGGCTGTGGGTAAAGACTGAATTTGTCTAGTGTAACTTTTAACTGGATAAATGTAACACTTAAGCTAGGTAAAGAGCTGTTTCTAACCTAGCAACACATAGAAAAGCTGCTGAAGTTTCTTTCCCTGAGGACCAGAACCCCAGGTGCAGAGTTTAAAGGTGGATGTTTAACTACACGTGAAAGCCACGCAGTGTGACTTAAATGAAAGTCAGCTGCAGTATTCATTTGCCCATTAAACTAACAGTATGACCCCTATTAAAGACAAAAGATTGTTCATATTCAAAAGCAGAATTTTATGAGCAAGACTAAGCCTCATTATGTGGAAAGAGATCATTTTAAGTGTGCTACTGTGCAAATTTCGTTTACAGAATATGTAACCGGGGCAAGGGAAGGAGGAAAGGGAATCCCCTTTAGCATGCTGAAAATCCATACTAACAATCTTAAAACTTTTAAGGACAGACATGTGAATAATAGCTTTGTATATGTTAGAAAAAGAAAGTATTTTTATTGCCTTTTGTTTGGAAATGCAGGATGAAACATATCAAAAGGTCAGTTTTAATGGCTGGTCTACCAAGCTAACGTCATGCTTTCCAACTGTCAGCGCTGCGGAGGACACAAGCACAAGGGCTTGAGGTACTGTAGTTTGGCTTGTGTAACAACAATGTGCACAAGGCTCTGGTTTATTATTTGTTATTTTTAGTTTTTTTTTGCATTGGAAGTGAACACCTAATTGAGATAAAATGTGCATGTTGAAAGCTTTCGTAGTTGCTACAAAGTAACTTGAGATGTTCAGTGTTTGCTTAATAAAGGTAAGCCTCCAGTGGTAGCTAGGAATTCAGATTTAAATAGTGGGAAATTGTAACTCTGGATTATTTTCTTTTTACACTAAATCGAAATGGTAATGGTATGTATTGCCTTAGCATACTTTTTTCGCTAAAGGGCTTGTGTTGCGAATGCAAAGGAACATGCTGGAAAACAGTCCCTTTAACGTTTTGGGAAACACTAAGCTCTTTTACTTGAGTCTGTTATTTAGTGAGAATAAGCTACAGTATTTGCTGTGGAGTGAAAGATGACGTGTCGGTGATATTGAAATTCTGGTAAAACATTGCCTTTAGCATGTGCTGATTTTAATTGTCTTAATGGGTTGTGTGTCTGTATACAGTAAATGTCTGTTTGCCATCTACTTAATTCATCGCACTTGTCAATCAAGGAAAATGAAGGTACTCTCCTTTACCTCGAACAAAAACTTTCATTTCATTTAATACAAAATTCCATTAAGTAGTAAAATAGCTAATGAAGCAGTGTGAACCAAAGCTTAAATAATACTGTCTTATGCATTTTTATAGACTAGATTGCTGCATCAAATATACAGGAGGAAAAAAAAAATGCAATAACTGCTGGAACAAAAGTCATTTCAACTACTGTACACTGTCATTGTGTGAATTATTTCAGTGTACGTATGCTTTTTTTCTTAATGCTTACTGCATTAATATTTTTTGTTCAAAAGGCATTTTCACTGTTGCACATGAGCACAAAGCTGCTGTAATAAGGATTAGAATGATGCTTTAAGAATGTGCTTTTCGTATAACTGCCCAGAAAGAGTACTGACATTGAGTCTGTCTTGCAGAAGTGTCTTTAGTGTGTGCTGAAAACATGCTTTTTTTACATGTTACCGTTTGACTTGTAACAGTGTGGAATTCTTTGCTAGAGGTAACGCTGCCTAGAAAATGAAGTATGTCCTGTAATGTGACTTACGTGTGTGGACTTTTTCAGTGAAATTCGTTTATGCAAATAAAACTTTTGTCTTACCACAGCAGGTGCAATTAAAGCCCCGTTTATATTAATCTATTTTCAGTTCAGTACATTTTCCCTGATGTTTATAAACAAGAGGAAGCAAAAATGTGAGCTTCACACAAGTTTTATGCCCCCTACAATGGGGTCTAAAACATTCATTGATGCTTGATCTCTGCTCCTTGGTAAAAGCAGAATTTATGTAAAAATGCATGCATATATGACAGTACAAGTTTTGAAATACAATACACAAGTTTAGGTGTCGCCAGTAATCAGTGGGTTTCATTTCTTAATGCATTAAATACTTGCAAACTGAAAAATGCCTTGCTTGGTATTTATTAACTGTTGCCACTAATAAATAATACATATTCCACATTTTACTAACAAGGCATGTGTTTGTCATTTACTTGTACTCAACAAGCTGTTTCAGTAATAAATTACTCAGACATGGGTTATAGGTTACACTTGAAATAAAGTATTACCTTGCAGTTAAATACACAACCAGCAAACAAAAACAGGAAATGCCTGAATTGTGTTCAATTGCTTCATTTATGAAAATAAAGAAAAAAGGTAAAAAAAATAGTACTTTTAAAATACATTTAAATCAGCCAGGAATGGGTTTTCTAATGCTGACCTCGGAGAACCCTGTTCAAGGAAGATTTATAGGTCATTCATTTCTAAAGAATAAGACAGTTGCAAATTTTTGAGCAAGTCAGTGATTTAAAGGAGCTGTGGTTCTTGAGGACTGAAGGGGATAGGGATTTAGTTCTCGATCATCTTTGCATGATAACGAAACTCGGAAGAGCTGGGTTTGCTATGCAAAGACAGCACAAATTCATTTACAAAAAAAACAGGAAAATTAAAAGAATACACATTTGCCATTTCAAAATTCTCCAAAAGATGGCCAAGATTAGACGTTGGCAGCACCTTCCTTGTAAGGCAACAGTAAGGAAAGTTTTGGCCGGTTAGTTAGCTGAAGGTTCAGACTGGGGCTCCTCTTGTCTGCTCAAGCCACTGTTGGAACTGTAGTCCACCCTCTCAAACAGTATAAGCAGCTCACAGTGCATAGTCTGAGGGAACAAGTCCAGTGCCATAGCTCTGATGGGCCGGAAGGGAGATCCTTTCACACGGTTTGAAGGGGATCGGCAAAGACTGGAAGAAACAGAAGGCAGTTGCATTAAAATCCCACAAACTTCTGTTTTCCCCCATTCTCTCTTTCTGTAGTTTAAGGGTGTAGCACAGAACTCGGCAAAGTTGTTCCACCTTTAGGACACAGGAAGACTAAGCATTGATGTCCGAGGTAGCTTGTCCTATTATAAAAATTGTAAGACCTGAGCATGTATGTTCTAGGCAGGAGTATACTGCAGACCTTTAATTTTTCATTTTCATTGGAAAAGTTACAGATGAGAAGAATCAATTAGCCAATTCAGCCCTGCAACACAGCTCTTCACCATAATAAGGGAAAGGAGCAGCTGTGTGGAGTAGTGTTCAGAGTTCAGCTGCATGGTGTGACACTGCTATTGTACACTTCAGTAGCCGGCTTGTCTTGTACTGCTCCAGTAAATTCTGTACTGTATACACGTGAATTCTTCAGGTCGCTGTGACTTGTGCTTCATGCTCAAGCGACATCCTAAATGTTACAAAACGGGCATACTGAAAATGTTTAATTAATTAACCCAACTCAGGAATACCCAGACTGTTTTGTTTTCAGATAAAGTGGCAAGTGAGATGTGAATTTGACTTACTCAGTGAAGTTGCTCATTGCTGCCTTGGCATTGCAGGCCACATAGATCAGTCTTTTCAGATGTTCTGCTTTTCTGATTGCCAGAATGACCTTGGAATCTGGAATGGATGGATAGTGTAAGATATTTAAAAGATATTTCACATTACATGCAACATAATTACTGGCTAAATTCTGAATCCTTCAGAAACATACATCAGAATAATTCAGCAGATCACATCACAATAGTATTCGGTGTACAGAATGTAATCTGCAAGAAAACGAAGAACCAGATCACTAGAGGAAACAACGCTCCCTATCTTTCCAAGTCAAACGAGACAGATCTTGCAATAGTTCATTCTGTGAATCTTAGACTGATAAGATGTAGAATCTGTCTCATCTCATGGTATTCTAGTCACGTTATTTTAAACGTCTGAATTAAACATAAATGATTTCAAGATCAGTAAAACACTTACGAAGTCCTGCTCTTGGAGGGTCCACAATTGCAGACAGATTTTGTGAGCTGACAGAATTGAGTATAGAGGGGAATATGTCTTCTGCCTTTCCACAGTGAAACTCTATATTGCTCAAACCTGCAACAAAACATTTATACTCAGTTTCAGGAACCCTCAGGGCAGTTGAAGCTTTGCTGTGTTTCACAGAGATACTAGTATATCAAGGCTCTCAGAGGCTGGAACAACACAGGACTCTCTGGTGCGGAAGAGGTCAGATAAACATTGAAGGGATTTAAATAATTTTTAACATCTCCATATCACCAATGCACGTAAAATGATGGAAACATTTCTCAACCAAGACTGACATTTTCAGGAATCAGGTTAATTAAAGCCGTTCCGAGTGCTTTGTAAAGACTCCATTTGTCTTCCTGTATTAATATCCAGCATATTCCTTTTTAAGTGCTTTTTGGAACTCAGTTTTTAAAGATAAAAAACGTATCAGAAGCCATCAGAAGGCATATTGGAGTATGCAAGATGTGTCTGCCCAAGTGGCATCACTCCCAGGCCACTGCAAAGTAGTGCAACGCCAGCACCCCTCTCCTCTATAAATGGTCATACGAGTTCAAACGGAAAACTTATCAAAGAGTCGCATAATAATAAATAAAGTATGCATTAATAATAAGAGTACATTATTAGGAAAGGAAAAGTAAAATACTACAGAGGGGGTGTGACATTTGCTTTTGTTTCAATTTTACAGGTTGAATAAAGCTGCTAAAATTAAAAAAAAAATGTGGGACTGGTTAGAAAACAACACAGGTTAATATTTTAAGTAGTGTCTCATTTGTTCCAACGTCATCCCTTACCATTGATCTGTGCATTGACCTTGGCATCCTCTACCGCTTCCTGACACAGCTCAATTCCAATCACCTTCTTCACACTCTTTTTAAAAGGCAAGGAAAAAAAGATAGAAGTACTCGCAGGACATCTGACATCCGTCCTCCCCAGAAAATTCTCATTTTTAAACAAAAGAAACCAGTTCTCGTAAAACCAATGACGTTTATTTTGCATTATGCACGAACAGAAGGATTACATGTCTTATGTTTCTAATCCAGAGGTGAAATGCTCACTGTGCAATGCTCACACTATGGTGCTTCTCGATCAATGCAAACAGAAGTAACAGCCGGCCTCGAGCACCCATCCAATAATCTATAATGCAATCCATTGATCTGGGCACGCTCCTCTCAGAGAGTACCCTGCTCTTACCTTGGCAAGACAGATCCCGATGGTGCCGGTTCCACAGCACACATCCAGCACTGTGCTGTCCTGATCCAGCTGTGCCCAGTCAGCCACGGCCGAATACAGCACCTCTGCTGCCAGGGTGTTCACCTGTGGATGGAAGGGTGGACAGACTGCAAGTCAGGAACCAGAGTGTGCATATAGTTAGACACACACCTTGCGTCCTGCAGAGAACTGTGTCATTGTGTCATCTGGGCAGGTGAAATTTAATTAACACCCTCATTCAATACACTTTCTGCCAAATCTCACCTCTCTGCTGCAGTGTATGTGTGGACAGAAAAGCCAGGGGTATAATTCAATAGCTTTCCAGCCCTGGTCCTAAGCAACCACAATCTATTCTGCCTTTTGCACTAGCCCAGTTCTTAATCACAGGCTCATTGTAACTCATCAAACTTTTTTGAGAAAATATTATCGACAAAAAGGCTTGAATCTCCTCATTCAAAAGTGATGTTTTCTCAAATACAGGAACAACTAAACCAAACATCTAAGTAAGGAAGAATCAATTGCAGGCATTAGTTAGCACAAGTGATTCAGAGATAGAAACCACTGTTTTAAGGTTACCCTCAAGCTTTCACCTACTGAGCCCCAAATCAGTAAAATACACTGACTTGCTCAAGCTTGGGCCTTCCTTCCAGATCACAATGCTTAACTACACCACAGTGAAGTTATCCAGCCCTGCTGAACAATGAGAGTTTAGCTGTTCTTGTTCTGTCCACCAAACCCTGTACCCTTACATCATTAGCAATGTTCAAGATGAGCTGAATTTCTGTTCTTATGCTTAGTGCTTTGTATGCAAACCTCCCATGATAACTTCTGCATCCTGCACACTGCACGGCATGGTGTCAGTGTATCTTGAAGCCTACCTGGAAGAAAGAGTGAGGTGAAATCTGGAACCTGAGACCCAGTAGCTCTTCATGTATCCACTTCTCTCCAGCTATGTGTTCCAAGGGCAAATCTTCAAGGTTTGGAGACTTTCTAAAGACAGAAAAAAAAAGAGGACAAAATTCCAATCCTCAATATCCGAGAGAGTGGTTCCTGTAAACAAAACACGCCAGCAGCACCACTCTCACCTCTGTCCCTCTCTCACGAAGTACAGAGAGCTCACCCCACTCTCTTTACCATCTCCCTCCATGAAATACTGTTCCAGGGAGTTCTTCAGGTCACCCAGTTCTGCATCTTGTAGTTTCTGCAACAGGAAGAAGGAAACCCCAGTTTTGACAGTGAGGTGGACAATGTATAAAACTCTCCATTCTTTTCTTTTGCTTTCAAATGGTAACATCTTGAAATGACTCCCTAGCCACTTTGTTGAAGCTGGTTTTGTGGGATTGTTTTTAAAGAACAGCTTTGAAAAAACTTTGAAACAATTCAGCTACAAGCAACAAAACAAGCAAGAAGAAAAAGATACTGGTACACCAGCAGATTCATACCACAAAGTAATTTAAAGAATTAAAGTGAACCACAGTCTTATTTTAAATGTATAGAAGCATAATATAAACCCAGAGATCAGGAGTCATTAAAGTTCTTATGTATAACAAAAGAAACCTGACATAATATAAATATTATAGGAACATTATGTCATTCTCCACACTCTAATCCAGATAATTATATTCAGTGCCTTCTCCAATATCATTTGCTGCAGAAACTGTTTAACAGGATTTCAATGGGTACATTTGTGTTTTCCATCTGTCCAACCTGCTGGAAACTTGGCTACTGAGAAACAGATTCCATACTTGGCACTTATCAGGTACACAGCCTGAGTCCAGCTCAACATGTACCCACATATTAATTTTGTGCCAAGTCCTGACAAGAGTGGAATAAATGCTGAGAAAACAAAATGTAATTTATTGTTGACAAGTTTAAGCAAGAATCCAACATTTCTGAAAATCCTATTATTCAGACCTCTGATTTTTTTTTGCACATTGCAGAAATACTTCAACACACACAAAGACAACAATTATGAACACTGAAAAGACAGTTAAGCATTTTATTATACAGTTCAGTCCCACTGTTCCCTTTTTCTGATGCGATTTGTTAATTAAGCCATTCCTCTCCCACCTCTGACGGTCTTTTAGTATTTTCTTCGGGGGACATTCTAATGCCACAATTATCTAACGTCACAGCTGTCTTGCTGAAAAATGTGTCCACGAATGTATCTTAGCTTCTGAACTAAAGCAATGCGTTGTGATACAAATTTGGAACCATGAGTTCATTCCATCTTTCTGAGCAGGGTGCAAATTTGTTGTTTGCTGCAGGAAAATCTGATTATTGTGAAAACATCATGCTGAACAAGTCACTTGCCCAGCAGCAGGTGACTGAAATCGGGATATCGATATCAGATAAATGTATCTGTAGTACAGAATGTATCGTTTTTGCTGCTAGGACTCCCCCCCATATGAGCTTGATTTAAAAGGGGCTCAGCCCAGCTGCTTCCCAAATCAGAACTGAGCAGCTTCGGGTTTCCTTACCTGTGGGTGAAAATACACCAATGCCATGATCTGACCCGTCCTGCTGGTCCGCACCGTCAGCTGTTTCCAGTGACCCTCGTACGTTTCAGGGCTGTACACAGGAAAGGGGCTAGTCCTGGGGGACAACAAGACGTGGACAACCGGTGACTGCGAAGTGAAAACAAAAACAAGGAAACCCTTCGCGAAAATGCAATTGCCTGCGGAGGACAGCCGAGATTTATTTCTGCGGCGTCTGTGGTGAACGGACACGCATCCCATCGATACGACCGAGATGAGGTCGTCGTGCAGGAAGACCCACGGATGGAGTTAATGGAGAGACCAAAAAAATGAGGGGGAAATGTAAAAACTGTTAAGGACGAGAGAGGGGCTCTCACCTGATGTAATTCTGGAAACACTTTACCACCTGCTTGGCTGCTGGGGGGACATGCACAGTGTCCGAAGGCTCCACGACGGCACAGGAGCCCCCCTTGTACTTGCCCAGCCGGAACCCCACCGTCTTATCCTGCCCGTTCGCTCCCACTCCAATGAGAAACTCACACTTGTTGCGATATTCCGTCTGCCGGAAGGAATTTTTAAAAAAAAACATGACTCCTTTAAAATTCCACTGCGTTAACAAAGCCACCAAGAAGCCCCGCCCATCCACCGACGGAATATGGTGCTTTTTTTCCCCATCCGGAGATCTCCAGTTGATTAAACACATTCCCGCAAAACTCCAACACTGTAAGAGCTCGAAAATGTGGGAGGAACCCGTGCTGAAGAGGTTCCCCTCAGTCTTCTTTGAGTTTGTGTAAGGTTTCTTGTTATTTTTACTGGGAAAACTAACATACTGGATAATGGTTCCCTGTACCATTAAATAATCTTGAAAGTTGCGCTGTTACACTGAAATCCAAGAGCAGCTATCCAGATACATTATAAAAATAAGTTAATTACAATTTCTTTTGCTTTATCTGACTGAAAACAAAACAATCTAACCTGGTAACCTAGAACTATATGTACAGTTTATCATTCATGAGGCATACAATGCCCTTCAAGTTTATTAATATCTCAGATGAAATATGATTAAAAACATCATATAGCAGAGTGAGTTATGAATTGGGTAATATGCTTCCCTTACAGATAATAATGCTATAACGTTAGGATAATTGCATGGAAACAAAGCAAATAATTCAATGAATTCCAGAAAACAAGAAGGTCAAAACAGTCTTAAAGTATTTCTTTAAATTAAATTCAACACCAATTCAAAACAAATCTACAGTAACATTCTGCTCTTTGGAAACCTTTGGAACTATATTGAGGCCTCTGAACATTTCCCCATTAACCTGGGTTATGAAATAATGAAACACATTGGTTAAGGTCAGAGAGAAAACACTCCAGCCCACCATCTTTAATGTTTTGGGGCTGTCCAGGAGACCTTTTTAAGATAAGAAAAACCGTGAACTGTAATACATACCAGGACATTTTGGCCAGACAATTGTTTCTTTTTGCCAAGAAGCTCATGCTTAACAAAAAATGTACATTCTAGAATGACAATGATCCAAAGCACACATCCAGATTGAAAAGCAAATGGCTAAATGTAGACAAAATGTTCTTGAATGTATTACTATGTATTGTGCTGCTGGAATTCTGGACATTCTAAACCCTAAGAAAGTACAGCAAGTGAAGTTCTAGGGCTTCATCCATATAGTGTGCAGTCTGCTTGTAATCAATCACTGCAAGTGGATTCTGTAGTGACTATACACTCCTACCTAGACCTTCAAACTAAAAACAATTATGTGTCAATCTGGGTGAGGGGTCATGAGTACCGGCCTCCAAGATCATGACCTACCTTTGAAGGCCTGGGTTTGGCTGCAATATCTTGCCAGGTTAGAAACTGCTATTTGGTAACACCCAAGATAGTGAGCCACAGTGCACCGAGCTAGTTCAGCTTCTATCAGATCAATGGCATGAAGGCATTATTCTCTTGAAGACAAAGCAAGTTGCTTCCCTGTGTTTTTCTTTCTCTCCCCCCCCCCACCAGGACCGATGGGTCAACAGGTTATTTCATCTTTAATCACCTCATCACCTTTGCCGAATCAGCTCTCTGTAATGAGGCGATTCGGTCATGATTGAAATGACGAAAACATTTAATACTGAACATTCAGATCATCTATTTTACCAAAAACATGCACACAAAAGAGTGATAAGTTTCTTTTTACTCTCAGTACAGCAAACCAGTGAAAAGACCATCTGGTCTTTTCGCCAGAAAGAAAGCGTGCATCTGGAGCTTACTTAATCACCCAGCCAAGCTCACAGCTGCCAGGCAGGCTGCCTCTTCCACAGCCAGATGATAACACTGAAGCCAGGTCTGGACCACATAGCTAACATGACAGGCTGACGCAGTAAGAGACATGAATTTGAGGTTGCCAGGCAGCCCAATCTGTACAAAATGATGACCTTATCAGAGTGACTCAACAGTAAGGCTGTGGTTGCCACGAGCAGCAAGAACGTAGGCAATCTGTGAGTGATCAGGAACAATAAACAGCATGCACCACTGTACCTGGACTGGAGATGGTCTAATGGCCTCCAGCGGACAACACATTTTATTGTACTTCTGCTTCTGAACAAATAGCCAAGGCAGCATGGCTTTGTTATTATTGCCGATTTCTCTAAAGAGAATCAAGAAAGAAAAAGATCAGTGGTCATTGATTCAAATAAGAATAGTTTTGTTTGATTGAAAAGGAGTTTTCCATGCTCCCAATAGCAATACATTAGCAGCAACACAAATGGATTGTATGAACACTTCCACACATGGCTATCTGCAAACAAATTAAGCTGCTTTCTCAACCATAAAACATGCATCACCGAAAACAGGTTATCTCAGAAGCTCAGATTTCACAGCATTCCACTTCTAGGTAGCTCTCCGGACAATCTAAGACACGAGAGACTTAGTTTTTAAATTTTAAGATGCAGACAGGGGTCTCAAAATCACTTTCTGGAGGGCTTACTGCCTTCTGGATTACATACCACTCTCAGTCATGCAGTTGGATTAATTAACGGTGTAATATTAATACTTCCATTAGTATGGAAGGAGAATATTCCAAGCATGGGTGCAGTTATAGAGGTGGGCCTGAATGCTGTGAGCAAGCAAAGGCATAACACCTTAAAAATAAACCTATTTATGTGTAATTAAAAAACAAGATTAAATCAATTAGTCAGCATGGAATAAAAACAAAAATTTATCGAACCGTCCTGTAAATGACTGTAAAGGTCCCTGCTTTTAGTGGCATGCAATCATCCCATTGGATCACAAATAAAGTACTAAGTTACCAACTTTGCCAGTCTCTGCAGGATTCCTTCACTTTCCTGCTCTTTCCTCTTTAGCTGCTCTTCATAAGGGACATTCCAGAGTGGCGTCACCACATCTGCAATCTGCTTACTGAGTGGCTCCTCCTCCTCTGTCCCTTCCTCTCCCCTGTGGCGCTTTGCAGGAACCTGCCCTCCCTCGGGCTCCTCCAGCTGCTGCTGCTGCCTCTTCTTCAGGATGGGGTCCGCCTTGGGCTTGGCCAGCCGCACGCTCAGAACCCGGCCCTTCCACAGCAGCCCATGGACAGCCTTCATGGCCTTGTCCCGCTCCTCCTGGCTCTTGAAGGTGACGAAGGCAAAGTTCTGTCGCCCCAAGAGCTTGATCTTGTGCGGCGTCAGGCCGTGCTTGGCCAGAAACTTCTTCAGGTCGTTGAAGCCAATGAACCTGGGCAGGTGCTGGATCTCCACCTTGTAGATCTCCGAGGTGAAGAGCTCGTCTTTGATGTAGCGGTAGACGCTGGAGGTGCCCTCCTCTTCCTCGCCTTCGGGCTGGGGCTCTTTCGCAGAATCGCTGTCTTCCCCGTGCGCCTCTCTTTCTAAGGATGCGTCTTTGAACTCACCCCGATCCCCTTCCGTCGCCCCCGCCACCACACTTTCTGCTGCATCCGTCATGTCTCCAGACCCTGGAGAGCAAACACAAGAAGAGAAATCATTGCTCAAGGTACATTTCCTTTTGTAAAACCAAACGATTATCCAATACCTCCTTGTGGCATAATCTGTTAAACTGAACAAGGCTAATGGCTTGCATTTGTAGAGCACTTTTCACCCCCAATGGATCTCAGAGTGCTTCACCTATAGGAGAGCACCCAGTTCATCCATCACCTCTCGTTGATGTGTGGCAGCGGCTGTGGGCCATCAGCCCCACTGTAGGGCAGATCAGGTGGAGAAGCAAGACACTGCTTCAGCAATCGAGTCAAGGGTGAAATGTTAGGGAGGCCAGATCGTGCACAGACGGAGTGGAATTTAGCCAGGACAGTGGGGGTACACCCATGGTCTGAGTACAAAACTTTCCTATGTTCTCTCAGTACACAAAAATACACACATATTACTGTGATGTGTTATTTTTGTGTCATGTACTACATATCACTTGTGATTCTTTAGCTTTCACTGTGTTTGTTTCCATCTTAACATGGAAATCAATAGGGAATGTCTTACATTACTCTGCCTTTCAGGATTTTAAATACAGAACACAGGAGGACGTGAAAATGTGTCACCTGCTTCAATACTCGCAGTTCACGTGGTTAACCATAACACTAAATACATTTTAGTCCACAAGTTGCAAAATACGTAATTATGTTTCTATATTTTACAGCAAGAAAAATAACTAAGTAATTCCACTTTACTCACTTAAGATTTTTTGTTATATTTCTTTTTTTTTTGGTGCTGTCTGGTTCGCAGTTCTTTGCAAAATTAACTTCATTTATGGCATTGCTTATAGACCATAATTTCATTTTGCTGTCTTCATATACGTATTAAATCTTATTTAACCCCAGCGATTTAGGATAAAACGTGATGAAGCAAGACGGCTTACCTTATCGCTCGCTATTAAAGTAAAAAAGTTTAAACCCTACACTGTCGCATTTACTCAATTCAGCTGCACACGTGAGCAACCATGTTAGCACGGAAAAATAGTGCCGCGTTACAAACGCTAAGCATGGCGGGAGATTAATTATAAACCTTTATATATTTAATTAGAAAAATATTTTTCATTTTCTATCGAAATGGTTTATTACACAAGTATATAACTAAAGAATACGGAATAAACATGTTTAAACTAGCATTTGTAGTGTAAAGGAAGTGACGTACAAGGTCGGAGGCCCCTGAAAAATAAAAATAATATTAAATGAATTCAAAACAAAAAACGTTTATTAGATATATATAACCTACAAGAGATGCGGTTCTTGACATTTTCAGTTTTTATTTTAAAATTTTAGGGCCAAATGGCAAGACGTGAAAAATAGAAACAAATGAAAGCTAATTTATAAAACGATTTGCGTGGTGAAATAATAACACTGACTGCGGGCTTTTTTTATTTTAGGTTTTTATGTCTAAAATTGAGAGGAGGGGAAAAGGGGGGGGGAAAGTCGGGGTGTAATTTAGCGGCGACGGGAGGAGGCTGCTGGGAGTGAGGTAAATGCCGGAGGAGGAACTTTTCAGGGCGCGAAAGGAGCAGCAGGAAGAGAGAGGGATCGACAGACACGGGCGGTTTTTAAATTAAACATCGGCCACCCGTTCCGTAATCCGCAATCATCTTGTACAACATGGCAGATACCAAGGTAAGGATCGGGCGTCAGGGCGTCTTATCGTTTGCTGATTTCGAGAAAACCGGTATTGGAAGATCAAGAGGCCGGTTTTAGGGGATATTATTGCGTTTTATCTCTCTTTTCGGGCTATCATGGGGGAAATTTTTAAAAGCCGACCGGGGTGTGGAGGGTTTGATGTCGTTCTCCTGGCCAGCAGGTTAGAGGTTTTTTTTTTTGGGGGGTGTCAAACAGCTAAGTTTCTGCATCAAAGTGCCCCGTGTCTTAAGTTTTTTTTTTTTTGCTGTTGCTGCATTTGGAAAGCTGTGTTTAAAAAAAGTTTAAAACACGTCCACCTGCGTCGTCCTTCACTGCCAGGTTAAGCTTTTAGCTGAGCCCAGGTTATTCCGCTTGTATCGTCGGGTTAATTTTTATTTTTGAGAGTCCTTTTACGTTTTTGAAATCAGTTCCCGTGTGATGCATTTTGTCTCCTGGGGTTTTTCAGCCTTTCCAGTGCGGCTATCGCGGTGCACGCAGACTGCTGGCGTTCACAACGTGACCCTCACATTGTCTGCAAGTTGCAGTGTCCCAGCGCATCATCGCACTCACAAATGGCGTGTTTCGGCATTTTTCGGCATTTTTTTTACTTAATGTTTATTTTGTCATTTGAGTCTTTCCATAAAACGTATGAGCCGATAACAGCAGGTAGAAAAAATGCCCCGGTGCAATTCTAGAAGTTATAAGGGCTGAATAACTGCTGCGTTTTATTTTCGTAACGGCATCAGATCTAGATATCCTATTGATTAAAAATTGACCTGAGTTTTTCAAGGGGGTTTTCATTTCGCCATGTTTCACTGAAGAACAATGATTGCATTTCTTATTATCTAGACGTTTAAGCTAAATCGTGTGCAACAGACCGCCCAGCACAATGCCGATGTTAAAAGCCGGCACAGTTGTGGTCGAAAGGGATTGTGGTGTATGTCAAAGAAAAGGCCTTGTATTTACATTTATGGTTTTAAAACAATCCATGCAATGGGTTTCTTCGTAAGGGAAAGGCTTGACCTTTAGAGTGCACGTCTGCATGTTCTAATTCAGATCTACCGACGGCTCATCCAGTTGTACATTTTTTTGGACTTTAATTCCCTATGATGATGTGCTTTGAATATAGCTGATAAGTCAGTTCAGCCAAGGAAACGCAAGATGGGGGGGTGGGGTGGGAGTGTGAAGACCATTTGGACACACCACAACCTTTTTGAGTAAAAAAAAAAGAATCTGTCTGGATTGTATTGTCTATATTGTTGCATGTGCATGCAAGTGCAGCCGATTGAGGCCTATAGGCAAAAAATCTTCTCATGCAAAAGTTGAAGCTCCTTACTCAGCATTAGTGGCATTATGTCCAGTTGCCACAGCAGTTTCACTCCAAAGAGAACCTCGCTCCAAAGCAGGATCTTCTAAATCCCCCCTATTGACTTCATAGTGCTGGTGCGTAGTTGCACACTGTGCTAGTTCACATGCTAGATCTGTAATGAACGTCCCCCCCGCTCTCTAATGTACACCACCCCTGATGAATCCTCGACATTTTCCCAGATTTTTAACTTATTTCCCCTCGTTTCCTGTGCTTTTACATTCTTGTGTCATGGTGGGGTGTGTTTCTCCTCTTAACTGTGCAATGAAGCTTGTGATGAGAATTAAACGTCTCGTTTTGAGTTTTAAGCTTTGGTTACAATACATCCACACCGAGAAATGAACTCAAGAGGACTTGCCTTTCTGGTTTCTGTGTGTCAACGAGTCTTCTTGTCTTTCTCAGGATACACAGGAAGACCATGAGACCACTGCAGAGAATGCAGATGAGTCTACCCACGACCCTCATTTTGAGCCCATCGTGTCGCTGCCTGAGCAGGAGGTGAAAACATTGGAGGAGGATGAGGAGGAACTCTTTAAGATGTAAGAAAGCACCTGTTTAGGCCGAAGCCATCCTGCGGGCCTCTTCATTGACGTGTGTCTCAAAGATATGTTTCTCTGAGTGCTTGAAAGTGTCGCCCTTTGCAATTTTAAGGAGGCTGCAAAGGATTTGGACAATCCTTTGAAAGTCTAACATTTAAAGACGAGCAAATTTTCATTGCCTGCCTCCATCAACCGTCCGAATTGTTCAAGATTTTGCCGCGGTGCTTAGTTTATAGTTCGGCAGATTTGTAAAGAAAATGCAAAGAATGGTTTTAACACCACAGAGACATTGCGTGGTTATTACGATGGAATCTACTTGCAGGCCACAGAATGTCCACTCGGTCTGTGGTGTAGTCTTTATCGCCCTGAGGTTGAGCAGGCTGCTCTCACAGCGCGTGTTTCCCGTCTTTAGGCGAGCAAAGCTGTACCGGTTCGCTTCGGAGAACGACCCCCCGGAGTGGAAGGAGAGGGGCACCGGGGATGTTAAGCTCCTGAGGCACAAAGAGAAAGGAACCATCCGTCTGCTGATGAGGAGAGACAGGACTCTCAAAATCTGTGCAAACCACAACAGTAGGTGTTTTGCCTTTTCTTGTGCTGTGGCTCTTTGTGTCCGTTGAAGACGTGCTTAAAAGATAGATACTTTATTAAAATAGAATATCTGCTTTATTTAAAGTACTTTATTTCCACCAACTGCGGAAATTTCATGGGCTTCTCCCACACATTACAAAACTGACAAGCGAAACATCACATGAAATCACAAGAACGGTATGTGATGGATGAATAAACGGGTAATGGGGGAACTACATTTACATCATTGTTATATTTTAGATTTAGGCCTCAATCTAGTAGTAAAACTGCCATTGTTTGTAGCATTGCCTGAAAGCTGGCGAGTTGTGAATTGCATGTTAACAAGTGTTGGTCTTCTTTCAGTCGCTCCTTTGATGGAACTCAGGCCAAATGCCGGAAGTGACCGGGCTTGGGTTTGGAACACACATGCGGACTTCGCCGATGAAGAACCCAAACCTGAGCTCTTGGCCATCCGATTCCTCAATGCAGAGAGTGAGTGTTCGTGTAGGGCACCTGGGTGGGGAAAAATAAACAGTGCCGCTTTACTCTAGTTTGACTTTTTAAAGAATAGGAGATAAACAAGAGCTGAGTAGCCTCTTGTTTGGTGGGTAGTAAGTGGTTAATTGTTCCAAGAGTCTCCTACAATTCTTTCTTGAAAGAAGCCAGGCTATGGGTTGCAACTATATAGTTGAGTAGCTTGTTTTATACTCCCACAACCCTTTGTGTAAAGAAATGCCCCCTGTTCTCAGTTGTAAATTAATTTCCATGTAGTTTCCACTCAAGGTTTGTTTCAAAAGAACATGAGAGATATTAAAGAATTAAGGACAGAATTCAGGTGTTGCATTGCACCATACAGTGGTGCCAGCTTTTAAACTGCAGATATATTAGGCCACCACATTGATAGAAATAGCCATTTTTAACAGTCTTTGCCACAAAGCTGAGAAATGTTGTATTTAAGGAATTTCTGTTTTTTAGATGCGCAAAAGTTTAAAGCAAAGTTTGATGAATGCAAGGAAGAAGTGATACGAAGTCAAGAGATTTCAGGTACACATGATTTCCTTATCTATATCTGTTGTGTAAAACTAAGCCTTTGCAGACTCACTCTGTCCCAGGCTGCTCAATCCTGCCTGGTGCTTTTTCAGTCTGCTAGATTAAAATTCAAAATATCACAAATACAAGCCTTTTCTAAGGCAAGTGTCTGTGTATTTTGAAACACTTAATCAGCCATATCTTCTTTTCTGAATCTTATGATTTAAAAAATCCATATCCACATTGAAGTCTGCTGTGGCTTATTTATTTATTAGTATAGTATTTATTATTCTATCATATTGTATTTATTATAGTCTTTTTATTTAATAGTATATAAATACTGAGACTTGGGAGCAAATTTTTAAGCATTAGGCTGGAAAAACACGTTCTCAAACTATACCTGGTTATGTTAATAATTTATCATCATTATGCCTTGATCACTTCCAACTTCCCTAAAATCGGACGATAGTTCATTTTCTCTTTGCAAACTGCATTGATTATAGTTCCTTCTTCTTTGTTGCCTTTACGCACACTTGCTAATGTGAAACGTCTGGATGTCCAGCTCATATTATGTAAAGACTTGTCACTTCTAGTGGGCTGTTTTTGTTACCCCATCGCCTCTAAAACGGGTGTCCAGCCCTGATCCTAGAGAGCCCCAGTTGAGCAGGTTTTGTAGGTCAGCAGCTTCTAAAGACCTGGAGTTGTTTCATTGCGATCAGTTCAAATGGAGGATTGTTAAAGTAATCTGGAGGTGATCTGGGAACAACCTCTCAAGCACCTTCAGTGTTTGAGGACTGAATCAATTGACTTCCTAAGTTATAACGAACTCATTAGACTGACTTGACGGGGGCTCTGCGGGACCAGGTTTGGAGTCCCTGCTTTCGAAGGTGCTGAGATTAAGTGTGCCTGCTACATAATGTGATTTTTTTTATACTTCTATCTGAATTCAATTCTGGATTGAATACGGTGCAGAGAACTCCTGCGGGGGGGGGTATTTGTGGTATAACATTTAGAAGATGGGCGATGTCTTTGGCTCTGCCGACGCGGGGGGAGAGGTAAATGCAGCTTTTGTGCATTTTCAAGCAGGCAACGATGACAGCACTAACAAAGTGGCAGAGAAGTTGGAGGAGCTGTCCGTGAAGGATGTGGTGACCAAGGACTCGGCGGGGCAGAACGACGAAGAGCAGCCTAAGAAGAAAGAGGAGGAGGAGCCTGAGAAAAAGGCAGAAGAGAAGCAGTAAAAATCTGGCTCTTGGCTTTCCTCTAGTCCTTTGGTTTTCATTGTTTTTTTTTTTGTTTTTTTTATGACAGACTTTATAAACAAACTGAATTTGGATGCTTCACGAGGTCTTTTTTTTTTTCCTTCTAAGGTTCTTGCCCTCTGAGATCATAAGAGACGCTTCAGAATATTCATTTCCCAGCCATCAAAATGTTCTGTGCTGATTTTTTTCCATAGTGGAAATGAGTTGTCGATATTATGGTCACCTGTAACTCGAAGTAACTTAACATGACATTGTACTGTGAAATGAGGCTTGTGAAAATGGTAATTCCCACATTGGGTAGCACATTTTTGTTTTGTTCTTTTTTTAAGTAAAGGTTTCAGAATTGGAGTAAAAGACAAATGTTTGTGCAGGTTACTTTCAGACTGATGTTTGACATTTCTGAGATGAACAGGAAATTAAGGAGCATTTGTAAAGCGACATTTTCCTCTCAGCTTGTAGAAAACATAAGGAAGTATGTCATATATAACAAAAGTATCTAATTTAGCAGCCCAAAGTTTTTTTTTTCCACATTGTTAATCTTATTGACACAATTGTGGAAATGTAAAAATAGCATAAAGGATTTAAACTTCTTGGACCTAAGGCTGTCTCTGA